CTGAATGTGAAGTCCTTCTATTAATGCACTAAATTTTAAAATGTACTCCAATGAAAATACTAGATTTTTTGTGCTACTAGAGTTAATACAGAAAAATAATCAAATGAAGATAAGCATGAAAGCTCTGAAGAAGAATGACGTAGGCAGAGTGGTGGGGAGAGGGCACAGCTGGACGGTGGGCGAAGGGCGGGGGGCGAGAATGGCACTGTGAGTTATGAAATGGAGTTAGAAGTGTAGTGGATGTAAATATCAGTGCACAGCACTAAAGTGTGAAAGAAGTATTTATCTCCAGTAACTCAACTTTACTTTTGACCTCCATTTGGAGAAGGAACTTGGGCCAGTTCCATCAGGGCCTCGAGGCCCAGACCCCACCCCTACACGGCTCTAAGGACGGTGGGGCTTGTCTAACCCAGGCACCAGGGCTGGGCTTTGATCCTCCGTGGCTCACCTCTCCACGCTGCACCCTCAGAATTGTTTGCTGCGGCTTTTGTGATATAACCCCCCCGGGGCTGCCACCGCTGCAAGAAAATGTCCATGGTGTATATAACACGATTCTTCAAGGGGGAGCCCACAGAGGAGCTTGCCAAACAGCAGGAGGATGCAGGCCCTGGTAGATGAGGGGTGGGTGACATCTGGGTACACAGGCACTAGGTCGAGGTGGGAAGGGAGATGGGAATTCGATGCATCATGAATATCGTGTGTAGTGATGAAGGTACACGCAGGGTGCAGTAGGAGGGCTGGGAGAGAGGATAGCTTCACGGAAGAGGTGACAACATGGCTGATACCACATGGCAAACAGCGGGGAGCACACAGAGCTCAGGTTAGAGGGAAAGCGGGTCTGATTTCCTGAACCCTCCCTGATCACTGGGGTGAGGAGGCAGTACCTGGGAACACGCTGGGACCAGGGAATGAGCCTCAGGATGAACCAGGTAGCTGTAGATGAAGCACTCCACAGAGCTGGCTCCAGTGACCCCTGGGAAGAAGATCATGGATGATGCCATCTCTGGATATTTCCAGGCCTGAGTCAAAATTTAAAGTGTTCCCTTCAAACTTTGAAACTGGAGATCCAGGGGTTTCTATCTGTGCCTTTTCTCTCTGCTCCCTAACTGCAGGGTTAACCACACAACCTGGATTCGCCATGGGTTCACTAACCAGCTAGCCTCTCTCCTAGAAGAAAAGGCCTTGGAGGGGAGGGACGATCCAAGATAATCCAGTGAAAACCAGAGGCTTAGGCAGCCTTGCCTGTCAGATCTGAACCCAAGGTGTACTTTAATCTGCACCTTCTCTTGGGGAGGATTTCACAGGATCTTCAGTTTCCTTTATCCACATTACTCCATTATTCAGATGAGCAGCAGCAAATGCAACCAGAAAACACCAGATAATTCAAACTTCATCTGTATACATTTCACTCTCCACAGCAGTCAGCAGAGTCAGTTTTACCAGAGTTTCTCAATCATAATTCCCATCTGGAATTTAACTGGTTTCCAACTTTCTTAATACACTCATAGGAAATTCCATCCTAGTCACTCTCAGTTTGCATGTATCAATACTTTAACCATGTGCCACTTCTTCATGGCAGTGCACTGCTTCCCCACTGCCTAGAGAAGTGTCTTAAAAACAGTAAAGGAAGTTGGTGCAGCCACTATGGGAAACAGTATGGAGGTTCCTCAAAAAACTAAAAATAGAACTGCCATACAATCCAGCAATTCCACTTCTGGGTATTTATCCAAAGAAAATAAAAACATTAATTCAAAAAGATATATGCACCCCTATGTTCATTGCAGAATTATTTACAATAGCCAAGGTATGGAAACAACCTCAATGTCCATTCATAGATGACTGGATAAAGAAGATGTGGTGTTAATATATACAGTATACTACTACTCAGCCATACAAAGAATGAAATCTTGCCATTTGCAGCAACATGGATAGGTCTGGAGGGTAAGTAAGTCAAACAGAGAAAAACAAATACTGTATGATTTCGCTTACAGGTGGCATCTAAAAAACAAAACAAAGGAACAAACAAAATAAAACAGACTCATAGATACAGAGAATAAGCTGGTGGTTGCCAGAAGGAAGGAGGGTGGAAGGATAGATGAAATAGGGGACAAGGTTTAAGAGGTAAAAACTTCCAGCTATAAAATAAATAAGTCATGAGGATATAATATACACATAGGGAACATAATCACTAATATTGTAACAACTTTGTATGGTGACAGATGGTAACCGGTCTTATTGTGGTGACCATTTCATAATGTATAAAAATATCAAATCACCATGTTGTACACCTGAAACTCACACAATATTGTATGTTTCTTATAATTCAGTTAAAAGTAGTAAAAGAACAAATACATTTTTGGAAGCAATATTATTTTCATTTTCCTTTGGTGTTCGAAATCCTATTATTTCTTTGTAACAGATCTGAGACCTTTTCCCTAAGGAAAACATACTCAAGTGACATAATAAGCTGAGCTACTTCAGAGGTGCATATGTGAAATAACCATAGAAAATATCCACTGAGCTATTTCCAAACATCATGAATTCTCATTCAGCTATTATCCAGTGAGCAGGTGGCTGTTTAAGGAAATAAAAACACACAGCCCCTGTCTTCCAGGAAATGACTCATTCTATTTGGGAAATAAGACCCATTTACTTGCAAAGTGAAACCACACTGCTAAACAGGACACAATTCCAGCCAACATTCTCCTCTTCTCTAAAGTTGCATCTTCCTAAAACACAATGGCATTTATGGAGTGTCTTCTATATACCAGGCACTGGACTTCTGGATAACTTTTTGAACCCCTAGACAACCCCATGAAGTATGAAAGGTTTGGAAAAGAAAATCAGTAGAGGAACTAACCTGATAAGTCATTTCCAAGCCTGAATTCTCAGCGTTCCTAAATTAAGAAAACAACCATAATCTTTCGAAGTTCAGTTTTTATGAGGCACTTGAGTATTCAACATACAAGGATCCCGTAAGAATGTTCCTTATTAAACTAGGGGATACAAAATATTTACCAGTAAACTTTGACTATCAACCAACAGATTCATTTTAGAGGGGCTTATTCAATATCTTATCCTTCTAAGGAAAGATCCCATTTATAAAGCAGGCAGTCAGTGGACAGTGCTCCTGGACTAATCTGATCTTTGTTCAGACTGACCTCTGCTGGTCAGTCTATTAACCTGCCAACTTTTTTTCTCTCTTGAGATAATATGACTAGAGAAGGAGCCTTTTCCCCAAATTACATCTAGTATCCAGATTTATATAGTTCAACCCACAAATGTTCATCAAGCCCTCAACCTTTCAGCAAAATCTTATGTAGCACTTGGCCGCCAGAGGCCAGTGTCCACGGGCAGAGTAGGACACTGATGAGATTACATAAGCCGCCCACTCTCTGCCCTCCTTGGATATTCCCTACTTCCGCAGCCCAGGCTCTCTAGTCTGTATCTCAGAATACATAAGAGAACCTGCCAGGGGGCCTGATCTCAAGGGCCTGTCAGGCAAAGCCACAGCTCCCTGCAAGTATCTCCTGGGTTCCCACCTCGAAGCTGGAGTCCACGACATTGTGGAGGTCACTCAGGCCCCTAACTAGCCAACGGATATAAGTCTGATATGTACGGTACAGTCAAACTAGCTGAACTTGGATATAAAGTCCTATACTCCAACTCATCTATAAAACTGCAGATAATAAACAAGAATGACCCTGAAAGTAGGTGATACTTTTCCATTTCTAATGTTTTCTTAAAACAATGTCTGTTTCTGGTAATACAATTACATAATTATTTTTACTTTAAAATCTTATAAAAGTAGGAAAAACATGAGGGAAATAAAAATTACTTAAATCCCATCACCAAGTTATATTAAAACTTTGGTTTATTTTGTGCCCACCTTTTTTCTCTAAGTATGTATTTGTGTATGAGTAAAGATGTATATCCTGACCTGGACCCATCCATTTTTGTAGCTGTGATTATTTTTCCATTAATAAATATTCATTCTTTAACACAATTTTTATTTTATGATGTTGACAGATCATAATTTACATAACCAATGTCTTATTATTAAACATTGTTGTTGTTCCTAAATAAAACTATGCTGAATGTCCTTATATATAAATATTTGACCAAATGTTTTATTATTTCTTTAAAATACATTTTTGAAATAGGCCCACTGGGTCAAAAGTTATGGGGTATGAACATTTTATGATTGCAAATACAAGCAACGCTAGAATTCCTCTATGGAATTTGTACCAATTTCATCTTCCGCCCCAGCACAGCACTCCTCTCCTCACTTCACCCTCACCAAACATTGAAAATTATAATTTAAAAAGTTCTTTGCTAAGTGGCTGGGGTAAAAAAAAGGTTTTTCTATTTAACTTACCTACTCATTTGTATTCATACTCATACTTTTATTGATCATTTGTGTTTTTCTGTTAATTATGCATTCATGCCCTTTCCCCATTTTTCTACTAGTGCATTAATATTTTTCTTATTTATAAGAGTTCTTTACATATTAAGGCTGTTGATTCTGTTGGTCTCAATGTGGTACACATAAACTAAGGTTGATAATCCAAATATACCCTGAAATTATTACTTTGGGTGTGGTGTGACTTCTCCTTTGGCTTAATAAGTTCTTTCCTGAAAAACTAAACAGAACAAAAACCTAGCTCATAAGATGTAGAACAAGCCCCATTAAATACTGGGTAGACTAAGGTTGGGTAGACTAAGGTATGAAGTGGTCAACGGATAAACTATGAAGGAGAGATAGTCTAGATACTCCAACTTACTGAACATGCCTCTACATTGCATAGTTCTGAAGCTTTTTTCTTCGAAGATGTTATTAAAAGATATGTGACTTTAAGAATGGATTTCCTTAGAAGAATACTGATGTGTCATTCAATAAACCAGTTATGATGCTATTTAATAAATCCCTCTTTCATCTGTAAATGGTTATTTCTGTGGTAGAATACTGGTATCTTTTTATGGTTTTAATCAATTCCTGCACTATAAAATGTCATTTAGAAATGTTTTTTATTTTTCTTTGCAGAACAATTTTAACATTATAGTAATTTTGCTGTGGAAAATAAAATTCCATCTTACAGGAAAGAGATGCCAAGTCACTCACTGGCATCTTTATTTACATATTAGAGCGGGTCAGCCAGTGAAAATCCTAGAAAAAGAAAAGACAACAAACATTCAGTCAAAAGAAATAACTGTGTCAAACTATATCCTGTTTTGCTTGCTCTAAAATCTAAAAGTCCCATTATAACCACACTAGCCACAGTGGTGGTAAAGTGAAGTTTGTCTTTGGTCTAGAGCTTTTCCCAAAAAGGAGCTAAAAATCCATTAATGAATCTTGCTGTCTTGTCCTACAAAACAACCTAACATCACTTTCTGGATCTTCCCTCATTAACAATAATCAGGGCACAAAAAAACTAGCGTCTGAAAGAACCAGAAGTACATGCAAAAGAAGAGAGGAATTTACAAAACAGAAATTAGAGTCACAGATGTAGAAAAAAAACTTATGGTTACCAAAGCAGAAAAGGGGGAGAGGGATAAACTGGGAGATTGGAATTGACATATATACACACTATTATATATAAAATAGATAACTAATAAGAACCTACTGTATAGCACAGGGAACTCTACTCAATACTCTGTAATGTCCTATATGGGAATAGAATCTAAAAAAAGAGTGGATATAAGTATATGTATAACTGATTCACTTTGCTGTACAGTAGAAACTAACACAACATTGTAAATCAACTATACTCCAAAAAAAATTAATAAAAAAAAAAAAAAAGAGAGAGAGGGAATGAAGGAGGCCCAAAGACGACCACGAGCTCCCATGTCTAAGAAGAGCTTGAGGAGAAAAAGCAGTGCATGGAAGCCTTGCCCAGGACTAAAACCATCCTACCCACGTGGCCTGGACACAGGCAACTGCAGAGATTAGGTCTTCCCTGTATTTATAGCAGGAAGCAGCCAGCTACACCATGAATTGATGACAAATGGTAACCATTTATAGTTTGTTCTCTATATCTGTGAGTCTGTTTCTCTTCTGTTATATTCATTTGTTTTATTTTACATGCCACATATAAGTGATAATATACAGTGTTTTTCTTTCTCTGTCTGACTTATTTCACTAAGCATAATATCCTCTAGGTCTATCCGTGTTGTTGCAGATCACGGAATTTCCTTCTTTTTATGACTGAGTAGTATTCCATTGTATACCTATACCACATCTTCTTTATCCATTCCTCTGTCGATGGACATTTATGTTGCTTCCATACCTTGGCTATCGTAAATAACGTTGCTATGAACACTAGGGTGCATGTATCTTTTCAGACTCACAGATACAGACAACAAATTAGTGGTCACCAGTGGGGAGAGGAACAAGATACGGGTATGAGATTAAGAGACGCAAATTACTATGTATAAAATAAATAAGCTACAAGGATATATTGCACAGCAGAGAATATAGCCAATATTTTATAATAACTTTATGAATAATTTTATAAAAGTATAATCTATAAAAATATTGAATCACTATGCTGTACACCTAAAACATGATATTGCAAAATCAACTATACTTCATTTTTAAAAAATGACAAATGGTAATGGACACACAATCAATCAATGAAAAATAAACAGTTTAGAAACTATAATATATGGGGAATTCTACTGGAATGAAGATAAATAATGTTGAAGTGGTAGATGCAAAAAATACAAGGATAATCCTCATGGAATTATACAAGAGGAAATAAGAACTTGTATTCTCCAGCAATAGCCCCCAAATTCAGAGAATTCAGAGAATAGACCATTAGAAGCAGATCATTTAGACAGGCATTAGCAGAGAAGGGACAATCAATTAGGGCCCTTCCGTGACTAACACAGGTCTCAAGTCTATTTTGTCTGTGTGTTCTGAATGTGCTTACCAAGACCCTTGTGGCTTTAGTTTCCTTAGTGCTCTGATGCCCTGATGCCAGGAGGAGGGCATTCTGGTTGCAAAACTGACATCCCAGCTATTGAAAAGCATATACTCAGCTACAGATAAAATGACATGCGATTTTAAAACCTATCTATTGGGTGTCTAGCTTGCAGAAATCATTTCAACAAATAGTTTCTTTTTTTTTCAAGGCAATCAGTAAACCTACAAAGGTACTGAGTAGGTTCTGAAAGTTGTTAATCCTACCTGAAAACAGTCTGCCTGCTTGCTCCACATAAATCCCTGCTAATGCCACCTACGCCATCACCTTTCTGGCCTAGCCTTTCTGTGCTCATCATCCCCATCACCATGCTTCTTCTTAAGTATCTCTTCTCTCTGCTATGAGAAGAGCCTGAGAGGCTATGCCAGAGCCTCTCTCTTTCTCTCTTTCTAAATTTTAACTGAAGTATAATAGGCATACAACCTTATATTAGTTTCAGGTATACAACATAATGATTTGATATTTGTACACTTCGAGAAATGATCACTACAATAAACCTAGTTAACATCCATCACCATATATAGTCACAGAAATTTTTCTTGTAATGAGAACTTTTAATATCTATTGTCTTAGTAACTTTCAAATATGCAACACAGTATTATTAACTAAAGTCACTATGCTGTGCATTACATCTCCAATGACTTTATAACTGGAAGCTTATACATTTTGACCCCCATCACCCATTTTGCCCACTCCCCACCCCCCAACTCTGGCAACCACCAATCTGTTTTCTGTATCTATGAGCTTGGTTTTTTTGTTTGTTCTAGGTTCCATAAGAGAGATTATATGATACTTGTCTTTCTCTGTCTGACTTAAGTCATACAGCATAACGCCCTCGAGGCCCATCCATGTTGCTGTAATGCTAAGATTTCATTATTTTTTTATGGCTAAATAATAATCCATTGCGTATATATACAACACATTTTCTTTATCCAGTCATCCATTGTAGACTGTTTCATATCTTGGCTACTGTAAATAATGCTGCAATAAACAAGGAAGTGCATGTATCTTTTAGAGCTAGTGTTTTAATTTTCTTCCCATAAATACACAGAAGTGGAATTGCTGGATAACATGGTAGTTTTGCATTTAATTTTTTGAGGAAACTCCATATTGCTTTCCATAATGGCTGCATGTATTTATATTGCCACCAAGAGAGCACAAGGATTTCCTTTTTCTCTACATCCTTGCCAACACTTATTTCTTGTCTTTTGATAACAGCCATTCTAACATGTATGAGGTGATACCTCACTGTAGTTTTGATTTGCATTTCCCTGATGATTAGTGATGCTGAGCATCTTTTCATGTACCTGTTGACTATCTGTATGTCTTCTTTGGAAAAATGTCAATTCATATTTTCTGCCCAGTTTTTAATTGGATTGTTCTTTGCTATTAAGCTAAATGAGCTCTTTATATTTTTTGGATATTAAACCCTTATCAGACAATATGATTTCAAATATTTTCTCCCATTCAATAGGTTGCCTTTTTGTTTTGTTGATGATTCCCTTTACTATGCAGAAGCTTTTTAGTTTGAGGTAGTCCCGCTTTATTTTTGCTTTTGTTGCCTTAGCTTTTGGGTCAAATTCAAAAAATTATCTCCAAGACCAGCGTCAAGGAGCTTACTGTCAGTTTTCCTCTAGGAATTTTATTGTTTCAGGTCTTATATTCAAATCTTTCATCCATTTTAAGTTAATTATTGTGTATAGTGTAAGATCGTGGTCCAGTTTCATTCTTTTGCATGTGGCTACCTAGTTTTCTCAACACCATTTAATGAAGAGATTGTCCTTACCCCACTGTATATTCTTTTCTCCTTTGTCATAAATTAATTGATCATATATGCATGGCTTTATTTCTGGGGTCTCTATTCTGTTCTATTGATCTATATGTCTGTTTTAATGCCAATACCATATTGTTTTGATTAATAAAATTTTGTATTAATTTTGTATTTTTGTATTGAAATCAAGTAATTTAATGCCTCCAGCTTTGTTCTTTCTAAGATTGCTCTATTTGAGGTCTTTTGTGGTTCCACACAAATTTTAGGATTGTTTGTTCTATTTCTGTGAAAAATGCCATTAAAATTCTGATAAGAGATTGCACTGAATCTGCATATTGTTTTGGGTAGTATGGACAGCTTAACAATATGAATTCTTCCAATCTGAGAGCATGGAATAGTTTCCATTTCTTTGTGCCTTCTTCAATTTTTTTCATTAATGTCTTATAGTTTTCAGTGTACAGATCTTTCATCTCCTTGGTTAAATTTATTCCTAGGTATTTTATTCTTTTTTTTTTTTTTTTGCGGTACGCGGGACTCTCACTGTTGTGGCCTCTCCCGTTGCGGAGCACAGGGTCTGGACGCACAGGCTCAACGGCCATCGCTCACGGGCCCAGCCGCTCCGCGGCATGTGGGATCTTCCCGGACCGGGACACGAATCCATGTCCCCTGCATTGGCAGGGGACTCTCAACCACTGCGCCACCAGGAAAGCTCTATGCTTTGTGATGCAGTTGTAAATGAAGTCGTTTTCTTAATTTCTCTGATAGTTTGTTGTTACTGTATAGAAACACAACAGAACTCTGTGTGTTAATTTTGTATCCTACAACTTTACTGAATTTATTATAATAGTTTCTCAGTGGAGTTTTTAGGGTTTTCTATATATAATGTCACACCATCTGCAAATAGTAACACTTCTACTTCTTTGCTTCCAATTTGTATGCTTTTCATATCTTTTTCTTGCCTAATTGCTCTGGATAGGACCTCCAATACCATGTTGAATAAAAGTGGTAAGACTGAGCACCCTTGTCTTGGTCCTGATCTTAGAGGAAGCTCTAGCTTTTCACTGTTAAATATGATCTTAGCTGTGGGCTTGTGACACATGTCCTTGATTATGTTGAGGTATGTTCCCTCTATAACCACTTTGTTGAGATTTTTTTATCATAAATGTTGGATTTTGTCAAATGCTTTTTTCTGTATCTGTTGAGATGATCATATGATTTTTATCCTTCATTTTGTTAACGAAGTGTACCACTTTGATTGATTTGTAGTTATCGAACCATCTTTGCATACCTGGAATAAATCTCACTTGATCACAGTATATAATCCTTTTAATGTATTGTTGAATTTGGTTCGCTAATGTTTTATTAAGGATTTTTACATCTACGTTCATCAGGGATACTGGCCTGTAATTTTCTTTTCTTGTGGTATCTTTGTCTGGTCTTGGTTATCAGGGTAAGGCTGGCCTTGTAAAAATGAGTTTGGAAGTGTCCCTTCCTCCTTTAATTTTTGGAAGAATTTGAGAGGAATTGATATTAATTCTGCTTTTAATGTTTGGTAGAATTCACCAATGAAGCCATCTGGTCCTGAACTTTTGTTTGAGAGGTTCTGATTCAATCTCCTAACTTGTAATCGGTCCGTTCATATTTTCTATTTCTTCATGACTCAGTCTTGGTAGGTTATATGTTTCTGGGAATTTATCCATTTATTCTAGGCTGTCAAATTTATTGGTATATAATTATTCATAGTAGTCTGTATGAAATTTTGTATTTACATGGTATCAGTTGTAATGGCTCATCTTTCATTTCTGATTTTATTTATTTGAGTCCTCTCTCTTTTTTTCTTGGTGAGTCTAGCAAAAGCTTTGTCAATTTTATCTTTTTAAAGAATCAGCTCTTAGGTCCAGTGGTCTTTTCTATTGTCTTTTTAGGCTCTATGTCATTTATTTGTGCTCTGATCTTTGTTATTTCCTTCCTTCTACTAACTTTGGGCTTTGTTTTTTTCCCTAGTTCCCTCAGGTGTAAAGTTAGGTTGTTTGATTTTTGTTGTTGTTGTTTTTTGAGGTAGGCTTTTACTGCTATGAACCTCCTTCTTAGAATTGCTTCTGCTGTGTCCCATAAATTTTGATATGTTGTATTTCCATTTTCATTTGTCTCAAAGACATTTAAAATTTTTTCTTTTGATTTCTTTTTCGACCCCTCAGTTGTTCAGTGGCATGCTGTTTTATCTCCACATATTTGTGAATTTTCTAGTTTTCTTCTTGTAATTCATTTCTAGTTTCACACCACTGTGGTTGGAAAAGATGCTTTTAATCTTCTTAAATATATGAAGATTTGTTTTGTGGCCTAACATATGATCTATCTTGCAGAACATTCCATGTGCACTTGAAGAATGTGTATTCTGCTGCTTTTGGATGGAATGTTCTGAGTATATCTGTTAAGGCCATCTGTTCTAATGTGTCATTTAAGGCGAATGTTTCCTAACTGATTTTCTGTCTGGATGAGCTATCCATTGATGTAAGTGGGTATTAAAGTCTCCTACTATTATTGTATTGCTGTCTATTTCTCCTCTTAGGTCTGTTAATATTTGCATATATATATGCACTCCTATGTTTTGTGCATAAATATTTACAAATGTTATGTCCTATTGTTGGACTGACCCCTTTATCATTGTGCAATGCCCTTCTTTGTCCCTTATTACAGTCTTTGTTTTAAAGTCTATTTTATCTGATATAAGTATAGCTACCCCAGCTTTCTTTTGGTTTCCATTTGTATGAATTATCTTTTTCCATCTCTTCACTTTCAGTCTCTTTGTGTCCTTATATCTGAAGTGAGTCTCTTATAGGCAGCATATAGATATGCCTCATTTTTATGCACTCAGCCACTCTATTTATTTTGATTCAAGAATCTAATCCATTAATACTTAAAGTTATTATTGATAGGTATGTACTTATTGCCATTTTGCTGTTTTCTGGCTGTTTTGTAGTTACCCTTTGTTTCTTTCACCAACGTCCTTGATATCTGTCTTATAGAAACAGAACTTCAGTAGAATTCTATATATTTCATAGTTTCCAAATTAATTTATATTTCATTGATTGTCCAGGTATCTGTTCTGCCCATTTGTCCACTGCCTTGTTCAAAAAAGAAAAGAAATCTAACAGCAGATACATGTATAAAGAACCAAGACAGAAAATACTTGAAAAAAAGTAAAACACTGAAAACAGCAGCTGATATGTAAGGTGCAGGCATGGAGGCCAGGTATATAAGAGAAAGCAAAAGTAGCTGGATCAGAATCAGAGTACAAAGTATGAAAAGCAACTTAATCTGGGATGGGAGAGGAACATACTACACACTTTGTCATTTATTTTACTGCTATAGTCTACCCCGTAGTTTTGCTTTAGAGGCCAAAGTAACTAACTCTGAATATAATTGCATAAGTTACTCTATTATAGTCTCATATCCCATTGTGCTTCCTCCTCCACTCTCTGTCTTCCAGCCACTTTGGCTTTCTTTCAATTCCTTGGACTTGCCGTGTTCCCTCCTGCCAAAAAGCCTTTGCACATCTTTTCCCTCATTTCTTTGCTGAATTTGTCCCTACTTATCCTTCAGCTCTCGGTTTAAGCATCACTTCTGAGAAGTCTTCCTTGTGACTCCAATATAAATTGAATTCCTTTGTGGGGTTTTTTGTTTGTTTGTTTAAATTTATTTTATTGAAGTATAGTTGATTTACAATGTTGTGTTAATTTCTGCTATACAGCAAAGTGATTCAGTTATATATGTGTGTGTGTGTGTGTGTATACACACACACATTCTTTTTCATATTCTTTTCCATTATGGTTTATAATAGAATTTTGAATATAGTTTCCTGTGTTATACAGTAGGACCTTGTTGTTTACCCATTTTATATATAATAGTTTGCACCTGCTAATCCTAAACTCCCAATCCATCCCTCCCCCACTCCCTCTCCACCTTGGCAACCATAAGTCTGTTCTCTATATCTGTCTGTTTCTGTTTCATAGATAAGTTCATTTGTCATATTTTAGATTCCACATACAAGTGATATCATATGGTATTTGTCTTTCACTTTCTTACTTCACTTAGTATGATACTATCTAGGTCCATCCATGTTGCTGCAAATGGCATTATTTCATCCTTTTTTATGGCTGAGTAGTATTCCACTGTATGTATATGTATATATATATATATATATATATATATATACATACTACATCTTCATCTGTCATTGGACATTTAGGTTGATTCCATGTCTTGGCTGCTGTAAATAGTGCTGCAGTGAACAATGAGGTGTGTGTATCTTTCCAAATTATGTTTTTTTCCAGATATATGCCCAGCAGCAGGACTGCTAGATCATGTGGCAAATCTGTTTTTAGTTTTTTGAGGAACCTCCATACTGTTTTCCACAGTACGGAAATTTATATTCCCATCAACAGTGTAGGAGGGTTCCCTTTCTCCACACACCTCCTGGGTTCCTTTGTTTTATGTTCATTCAGAACTGGGTTTCTTTAATTCAGAGGAATTGCCTCACTCTATTGTGATACATTCAGTTGAGAGGTGACTGCACTGCACTCTCCTTCTGGACAGTAAACTCCATGAAGTGAGGTCCGAGCCTGGTTTGCTCACTATGCTATTCTTAGCACCTGACACAGCACAACTAACACATACCTCAACAAATATTCATTGAACAAACAAATGAAAGTGACAAGCTCAGAAACAGTTTAGACAGAACTCAGTAAATGACAGGGTGTTCTATTTGGTAGATACTTTTGGGGGTGGGAGGGGAGATGCATTTCTGCTTTCTGCTTAGCAATCATCTTTACCTGGGCTTTCCGCATGGCTTGCGGCTCAATCATGATGTTGATAAGAGAGGGTTTAGTTGTGTCTGCCAGGCTCTGCCTCAGGGATTTCTGGAGTTCTTCTGGTGTTTGTACAAAATACCCTTTGCCTCCAAATGCAATCATGACATGCTCGTAATGTGAGTGTGGCAGAAGACACATTGGAGGGGCCCTGAAAAAGAAGGTCACAAGTCAATAGAAAAAATTCTCTAAAATAATTTGTGGAAAAATTTCATCTAAAATGAAGGCATGCTTTTACGTAAACTGAGATGCCAGTATATTAAACTTTCCATACACTTTTTATTGTATGTATAGCAATGTGCAACAGAACTTTCTGTGATGATGGAAATTTTTATATCTGTGCTGCCCAGCACAGTAGTTACTAGTGACCTGTTGCAGTGAGCACTTGAAATGTGACTAGTTAAAAAGAGGAAGTGAATTTTTAACTTAAACAGCCACATGTGGCTAGTGGCTACTATACTGGGCAGTGAAGGCTACACCATCAACTATTATGAATCCCCCCTCCAAAAAAAAAGAGAAGAAAAGGAATGGTTACTACAAAACAGCAAATAACAACAAAACAACAAACAGAGTCAGCGAGGCATAGCAAACATACCCACAGCCTCTCCCCTGGGGCTGACTAACAGATTCACAACTTCCTCATCCCACAGCCAGCCACAAAACTGTCTCAGTTTGGCTCTGTCATCAAATGACCAAGATTTAGCTAAGTGGTAAAAGGAAGGAAGACCTCTATATCATAAACAATATGTAAGCATCTATATTCCTACATGGTGTAGTAGGAATAGTAGGACTGGCAGCATTTGCAATAAGCCTTTTCATTAACAAGGCTCAGACATGAAACTGATTCACCTGAGCCTTCAGTGGCTCCCTGATCATAAACTATTCATTGAAGTGCCAGTCAAGGATGGTTGTGCAAAAAGGAACCATGCACACAGGGTTCCTGTCCTTTAGAGCAGCTGACCATGAAAACAAGCAATACTGACACCACAGAAGCAGGTTTCCAGTATAGCAGACTTTTTAAAGAGAGATTAAAATAGATGAGAAAACATAAATATACACTGTTCTGGGTTACTTACACTGTAGTAGCATCTCCAAATTTTAACATTTCCTTCCAAGTATCTGTATCAAAACCTTGGTAAATTCCATTATTATTCACCACCAAAAGTATGATTGGCAAGTTGTACCTAAAATTGACAGCAAAATATAAAGGAAATCATTTTTCATTCTGAAGCAATTTCTTTTCATTGGATTGAAATTTTAACTTGAAAATGGATAGTTTTCTATAAGCTTTTTTGTAATATTATGGTAAGACCAAAAATTAAGCATTTGCTATCCTAATAAAGACTATCAAATTATTAACAGAAACATCATGGAGCAGTAGAAAGAATGCAAGGTTAGTGGTTGGCAGACCTGGTCCCACCACTATGCAGCTACGGACCTCAGGCAAATGACTGAGCTTTTCTGACCCTTGGTTTTCACAGATCTGGGAGTTAATAAGAATGACACCTTCCACACTTAATTCCCTCTGAAGCACTTGTTCCTCACAACTGTCCTATAAGGTAGGAACTAGTACGACTCCTATTCCTACTTTAGAGGAGACTTAGGTTTGGTTAAGAGACTTAACCCTAGTCACCTGGGTCTGATGTGGTCAAGCCAGTATTTAAATCCAGGCCAACTGACCCAGAGGCCGTTCTTTTAACCACCAAGCTCTGCTATCTCCCTGCAGAAAACAAGCTTTTATCAGACCAGAACTTTTTTTTCAGTGACCTAAAAACTACTCCCCAGTTTTGCAGGTTTGGGGCATATGGTAGAGAGATCATGAACATGCTGTCCTGGATGAGACAGACCCCACGGTATTTATACTAGTATTCTCAGGACACAGCACAGTGCTGTGCACGGGGCACCTGGCACATGGTGAACGCTTGGTAACTATTTGTTAGGCAAGTGGGTCTTGGGTATAATTTTTCATATTTTGGAGAAAGAAATGCTGACTCAAGATGCTGTTTTACCTGCAGATGGTTTCCACTTCCATGCCAGAAAATCCAAATGCACTGTCTCCTTCCACACAGATGACCTGCTGCCCTGGGTTTCTATCTTTAGCCACTAGAGCAGATGCAATGGCAAAACCCAAACCGACTCCCATTGTTCCAAAAGTACCAGCATCAAGCCTGTTGGGGAACAGAGCTACAATGAAACCCTCTGGGGCATATCACAGATGGTGGAGTTGGCACAAAATCTAGTCATTTTTACATGGCTCATGGAAAAATAAAGAACAATAAAACATTCTCCTTAATATTAAGTTTTTAGACTGTGAGGAACTAATTTGTTAAGGATAAGCAAATGAACAGGAGAAATCGCTCATGATTTCTTGGAAGACTGTGAATATATCCTCCGAACACCGCGTCTACAAATTACCACATGATCTCGGACATACCAAGCATAGAAACACTACAAAACGTTACCTACGAATACTTTTATGAAGTATGTCCTTACACTGGCTGTGTATAATTTTCAAATATTTTCTCAATCTGCTTTTTGTAGTTTCTAATTTAACACGTTCCAATTCATTATAATTGCCTTTACCTGTGACGAGGAAGGTAGTTTTGAAGCACAGTGCGCCCAATATCCATAGTATTTGCTCCTTCGCTCACCACAAAACAGTCTCTGGGCAGTTGTTCTTGAATGTGGTAGAATACTGTGTAATAATTCATAGGCAGGGATTTTTTGAAAGCTAATTCCTAAAATATCAGAGGGAAATAGAATCAAATTAAATTAATATACAGTGAAAATAAACAGCATCAATAAGCTACTTTCAAACTTACTTGCAACAGCCAAAGGCTATGAAATTCCCAAATGGCCACTAGATGATGACTCTGAGAAGCTAATTGATCTGTCAACAGTCCTAGGGGACAGGCTATGAAAAACGGGTCCCAGTCCCAATTTGGGACACAATCAAATAAGGCAGGAAATATCCCTCTTCCTGGAGATCCACAACGCACACTAGCATATTAAAGACTAAGACGTCCTATAGTAAAGATAGCTGAAGACACTAGGTTAAGCAAAACTAAACAGTCTTATTTGAGCACTTTCAGGGAAACACTGCCTTAGAAAAAGTGAAAATTTTATTCTAGAATATTTTCATCTAAAATATGACCTTACATTTAAAATTAAAAGTGAAGTCGGGGTTTTAGAAAATCTAATCTTTCCCCACATATACTGGAAAGGGGATATGCTTCACCCACTATTCTGGAGGGTCTCTAAATGGAGGGGAAACAGAAAGGTTACTGTCCTTGTCTAGCCAAATGCCTTTTAGAGCTTCAGCAGCAAAGCCCCACTGCCTCTTCACCTGTACTACTTTGGTCTGCTGGAGATTATACCCAAGATGGATGAGGGACCCTCCTATACTCATGCACCAGAGAAGAGAGGCAAGATCCTTCCATCTTAAACTAAGGTGATTCCTACGGAAAAGAAGGAATTAATCACTATACCATTCAGGAAAGAGAACAGAGACTGGCTCCTGATAGGAGAAAGTCATTGATTAAACTTCCAAAAAAGAAAGAATCATATAGAGACAACTCTACTTGTTTGGAAAATGCAAATTTATTCCAAGACGACTGATATATTAGGGAACAATATGAATATAGCTGGAATTTCGTATTTGCTTATGCATGATTCCATCAGTTAGAAACACTACATGAACACAGAAAACTACACCCAGCTGAACCAAGATACAGAGGAATACACAAAACAGCAAAAAAAAAAAAAAAAATCCGAACAGCTGAAGAGGAACTTCAAGACGGCAGAAGAGTAAGACGTGGAGATCACCTTCCTCCCCACAAATACATCAGAAATACATCTGCATGTGGATCAACCCCTACAGAACACCTACTGAACGATGGCAGAAGACCTCAGACCTCCCAAAAGGCAAGAATCTCCCCACGTACCTGGGTAGGACAAAAGAAAAAAGAAAAAACAGAGACAAAAGAATGGGGATGGAACCTGAACCTCGGGGAGGCAGCTGTGAAGGAGGAAAGGTTTCCACACACTAGGAAGCCCCTTCGTGGGCGGAGACTGCAGGTGGCAGAGGGGGAAGCTTCGGAGCCACGGAGGACAGCACAGCAACAGGGGTGCGGAGGCAATTCCCGCACAGAGGATCGGTGCCGGCCAGCACTCACCAGCCGGAGAGGCTTGTCTGCTCACCCGCTGGGACGGGCAGGGCTGGGAGGTGAGGCTCGGGCTTCAGTCGGATCACAGGGAGAGGACTGGGGTTGGCTGCATGAACACAGCCTGAAGGGGGCTAGTGCGCCACAGCTAGCTGGGAGGGAGTCCAGGAAAATGTCTGGAGCTGCCAAAGAGGCAAGAGACTTTTTCTTGCCTCTTTGTTTCCTGGTGCGTGAGGAGAGGGGATTAAGAGCGCTGCTTAAATTAAATTAAATTAAGAGCGCCAGAGACGGGTGCGAGCCGCGGCTAAAAGCGCGGACCCCAGAGCCGGGCATGAGACGCTAAGGCTGCTGCTGCCGCCACCAAGAAGCCTGTGTGAGAGGACAGGTCACTATCCACACCTCCCCTTCTGGGGAGCCTGTGCAGCCCGCCACTGCCAGGATCCCGGGATCCAGGGACAACTTCCCCGGGAGAATGCACGGCGCGCCTCAGGCTGGTGCAACGTCACGCCGGCCTCTGCCGCCGCAGGCTCGCCCCGCACTCCGTGCCCCTCCCTCCCCCTGGCCTGAGTGAGCCAGAGCCCCCGAATCAGCGGCTCCTTTAACCCCATTCTGCCTGAGTGAAGAACAGATGCCCTCAGGCGACCTGCACGCAGAGGTGGGTCCAAATCCAAAGCTGAACCCCAGGAGCTGTGCGAACAAAGAAGAGAAAGGGAAATCTCTACAGGCAGCCTCAGGAGCCACAGATCAAATCTCTACAAGCAACTTGATGTACCCTGCATCTGTGGAATACCTGAAGAGATAACGAATCATCCCAAATTGAGGAGGTGGACTTTGGGAGCAATGATATATTTTTTCCCTTTTTCTCTTTTCGTGAGTGTGTATGTGTATGCTTCTGTGTGTGATTTTGTCTGTATACCTTTGCTTTTACCATTTGTCCTAGGGTTCTGTCCGTTTTCTTTTTTTTTTTTAGCATCGTTTTTAGCACTTGTTATCATTGGTGCATTTGTTTTTTGGTTTCATTGCTCTCTTCTTTCTCTCTTTTTTTTATTACTTAAAAAATTTTTTTTAATAATTATTATTTTAATAATTTTACTTTATTTTATTTTATCTTCTTCTTTCTTTTTTTCCTCCCTTTTATTCTGAGCTGTGTGGATGACAGGCTCTTGGTGCTCCAGCCAGGCATCAAGGCTGTGCCTCTGAGGTGGGAGAGCCAAGTTCAGGACACTGGTCCACAAGAGACCTCCCAGCTCCATGTAATATCAAACGGCAAAAATCTCCCAGAGATGTCCATCTCAACAACAAGACCCAGTTCCACTCAATGACTAGCAAGCTACAGTACTGGACACCCTATGCCAAACAACTGCAAGACAGGAACACAACCCCATCCATTAGCAGAGAGGCTGCCTAAAATCATAATAAGGCCACAGACACCCCAAAACACTCCACCAGATGTGGACCTGCCCACCAGAAAGACAAGATCCAGCCTCATCCACCAGAACACAGGCACTAGTCCCCTCCACCAGGAAGCCTACACAACCCACTGAAACAACCTTAGCCACTGGGGACAGACACCAAAAACAACAGGAACTACGAACATACAGCCTGTGAAAAGGAGACCCCAAACACAGTAAGTTAAGCAAAATGAGAAGACAGAGAAACTCACAGCAGATGAAGGAGCAAGATAAAAACCCACCAGACCTAACAAATGAAGAGGAAATAGGCAGTCTACCTGAAAAATAATTCAGAGTAATGATAGTAAAGATGATCCAAAATCTTGGAAATAGAATGAAGAAGATACAAGAAACGTTTAACAAGGACCTAGAAGAACTAAAGAGCAAACAACAGTGATGAACAACTCAATAAATGAAATTAAAAATTCTCTAGAAGGGATCAATAGCAGAATAACTGAGGCAGAATAACGGATAAGTGACCTGGAAGATAAAATAGTGGAAATAACTACTGCAGAGCAGGATAAAGAAAAAAGAATGAAAAGAATTGAGGACAGTCTCAGAGACCTCTGGGACAACATTAAACGCACCAATATTCGAATTATAGGGGTTCCAGAAAAAGAAGAGAAAAAGAAAAGGACTGACAAAATATTTGAAGAGATTATAGTTGAAAACTTCCCTAATATGGGAAAGGAAATAGTTAATCAAGTCCAGGAAGCACAGAGAGTCCCATAAATCCAAGGAGAAACATGCCAAGACACATATTAATCAAACTATCAAAAACTAAATACAAAGAAAAAATATTAAAAGCAGCAAGGGAAAAACAACAAATAACACACAAGGGAATCCCCATAAGGTTAATAGCTGATCTTTCAGCAGAAACTCTGCAAGCCAGAAGGGAGTGGCAGGACATATTTAAAGTGATGAAGGAGAAAAACCCACAACCAAGATTACCCAGCAAGGATCTCATTCAGATTTGATGGAAAAACTAAAACCTTTACAGAGAAGCAAAAGCTAAGAGAATTCAGCACCACCAAACCAGCCTTACAACAAATGCTAAAGGAACTTCTCTCGGCAGGAAACACAAGAGAAGGAAATGACCTACAATAACAAACCCAAAACAATTAAGAAAATGGGAATAGGAACATACATATCGATAATTACCTTAAGTGTAAATGGATTAAATGATCCAACCAAAAGAAATAGACTGGCTGAATGGATACAAAAACAAGACCTGTATATATGCTGTCTACAACAGACCTAGGGACACATACAGACTGAAAGTGAGGGGATGGAAAAAGATATTCCATGCAAATGGAGATCAAAAGAAAGCTGGAGGAGCAATTCTCATATCAGACAAAATAGACTTTAAAATAAAGACTATTACAAGAGACAAAGAAGGACACTACATAATGATGAAGGGATCTACCCAAGAAGAAGATATAACAATTGTAAATATTTATGCAACCAACATAGGAGCACCTCAATACACAAGGCAAATGCTAACAGCCATAATAGGGGAAATCGACAGTAACACAATAATAGTAGTGGACATAAACACCCCACTTTCACTAATGGACAGATCATCCAAAATGAAAATAAATAAGGAAACACAAGCTTTAAATGATACCTTAAATACAATGGACTTAATTGATATTTATAGGACATTCCATCCAAAAACAACAGAATACACTTTCTTCTCAAGTGCTCATGGAATATTCTCCAGGATAGATCATATCTTGGGTCACAAATCAAGCTTGGTAAATTTAAGAAAACTGAAATCGTATCAAGTATCTTTTTTGACAACGTTATGAGACTAGATATCAATTCCAGGAAAACATCTGTAAAAAATACAAACACATGGAGGGTAAACAATATACTACTAAATAACCAAGAGATCATTGAAAAAATCAGAGAGAAAATTAAAAAAATACCTAGGGACAAATGACAATGAAAACACAACCACACAAAACCTATGGGATGCAGCAAAAGCAGTTTTAAGAGGGAAGTTTATAGCAATACAATCTTACCTCAAGAAACAAGAAACATCTCAAATAAACAACCTAACCTTACACCTAAAGCAATTAGAGACAGAAGAACAAATAACCCCAAAGTTAGCAGAAGGAAAGAAATCATAAAGATCAGATCAGAAATCAAAGAAAAAAGAAATAAAGGAAATGATAGCAAAGATCAATAAAAATAAAAGTTGGTTCTTTGAGAAGATAAACAAAATTGATAAGCCATTAGCCAGACTCATGAAGAAAAAAAGGGAGAAGACTCAAATCAACAGAATTAGAAATGAAAAAGGAGAAGAAACAACTGACACTGCAGAAATACAAAGGATCATGAGAGATTACTACAAGCAACTCTATGCCAATAAAATGGACAAACTGCAAGAAATGGACAAATTCTTAGAAATGCACAACCTGTGGAGACTGAACCAGGAAGAAATAGAAAATATGAGCAGACCAATCACAAGCACTGAAATTGAAACTGTGATTAAAAATCTTCCAACAAACAAAAGCCCAGGACCAGATGGCTTCACAGGCGAATTCTATCAAACATTTAGAGAAGAGCTAACACCTATTCTTCTCAAACTCTTCCAAATATAGCAGAGGGAGAAACACTCTCAGACTCATTCTACGAGGCCACCATCACCTTGATATCAAAACCAGACAAAGACTTCACAAATAAAGAGAACTGCAGGCCAATATCACTGATGAACATAGATGCAAAATCCTCAACAAAATACTAGCAAACAGAATCCAACAGCACATTAAAAGGATCATACACCATGATCAAGTGGGGTTTATCCCAGGAATCTTCAATATATGCAAATCAATCAATGTGATACACCATATTAACAAATTGAAGGAGAAAAAACATATGATCATCTCAATAGATGCAGAAAAAGCTTGTGACAAAATTCAACGCCCATTTATGATAAAAACCCTTCAGAAAGCAGGCATAGAGGGAACTTTCCTCAACATAATAAAGGCCATATATGACAAACCCACAGCCAACACCGTCCTCAATGGTGAAAAACTGAAAGCATTTCCACTAAGATCAGGAAAAATACAAGGTTGCCCACTCTCACCACTATTATTCAACATATTTTGGAAGTTTTAGCCACAGCAATCAGAGAAGAAAAAGAAACAAAAGGAATCCAAATAGGAAAAGAAGAAGTAAAGCTGTCACTGTTTGCAGATGACATGATACTATACATAGAGAATCCTACAGATGCTACCAGAAAACTACTACAGCTAATCAATGAATTTGGTAAAGTAGCAGGATACAAAATTAATGCACAGAAATCTCTGGCATTCCTATACACTAATGATGAAAAATCTGAAAGTGAAATTAAGAAAACACTCCCATTTACCACTGCAACAAAAAGAATAAAATATCTAGGAATAAACCTACCTAAGGAGACAAAAGACCTGTATGCAGAAAATCATAAGACACTGATAAAATAAATTAAAGATGATACAAAGAGATGGAGAGATATACCACGTTCTTGGATTGGAAGAATCAACATTGTGAAAATGACTATATTACCCAAAGCAAACTACAGATTCAATGCAATCCCTATCAAACTACCACTGGCATTTTTCACAGAACTAGAACAAAAAATTTCACAATTTGTATGGAAACACAAAATACCTCGAATAGCCAAAGCAATCTTGAGAATGAAAAACGGAGCTGGAGGAATCAGGCTCCCTGACTTCCGACTATACTACAAAGCTACAGTAATCAAGACAGTATGGTACTGGCACAAAATCAGAAATATAGATCAATGGAACAGGATAGAAAGCCCAGAGATAAACCCACACACATATGGTCACCTTATCTTTGATAAAGGAGGCAGGAATGTACAGTGGAGAAAAGACAGCCTCTTCAATAAGTGGTGCTGGGAAAATTGGACAGCTACATGTAAAAGAATGAAATTAGAACACTCCCTAACACCATACACAAAAATAAGCTCAAAATGGATTAAAGACTGAAATGTAATGCCAGACACTATCAAACTCTTAGAGGAAAACATAAGCAGAACACTCTGTGACATAAATCACAGCAAGATCCTTTTTGACCCACCTGCTAGAGAAACGGAAATAAAAGCAAAAATAAACAAATGGGACCTAATGAAACTTAAAAAGGTTTTGCACAGCAAAGGAAACCATAAACAAGAATGAAAAGACAACCTTCAGAATGGGAGAAAATATTTGCATATGAAGCAACTGACAAAGGATTAATCTCCAAAATTTACAAGCAGCTCATGCAGCTCAATATGAAAAAAAATCAACCCAATCCAAAAATGGGCAGAAGACCTAAACAGACATTTCTCCAAAGAAGATATACAGATTGCCAACAAACACATGAAAGAATGCTCAACATCATGAATTATTAGAGAAATGTAAATCAAAACTACAGTGAGATATCATCTCACACCGGTCAGAATAGCCACCATCCAAAAATCTACAAACAATAAATGCTGGAGAGGGTGTGGAGAAAAGGGAACCCTCTTGCACTTTCAGTGGGAATGTAAATTGATACAGCCACCATGGAGAACAGTATGGAGGTTCCTTAAAAAACTAAAAATAGAACTACCATACAACCCAGTAATCCCACTACTGGGCATATACCCTGAGAAAACCATAATTCAAAAAGAGTCATGTACCACAATGTTCATTGCAGCTCTATTTACAATAGCCATGACGTGGAAGTAACCTAAGTGTCCATCAACAGATGAAGGGATAAAGAAGATGTGGCACATATATACAATGGAATATTACTCAGCCATAAAAAGAAACGAAATTGAGTTATTTGTAGTGAGGTGGTTGGACCTAGAGTCTGTCATAGAGAGTGAAGTAAGTCAGAAAGAGAAAGACAAATACCGTATGCTAACACATATACATGGAATCTAAAAAAGGAAAAAAAAATGGTCATGAAGAACCTAGGGGCAAGATGGGAATAAAGACACAAACCTACTAGAGAATGGACTTGAGGATATGGGAGGGGGAAGGTTAAGCTGGGACAAAGTGAGAGAGTGGCATGGACATATATACACTACCAAACGTAAAGTAGATTGCTAGTGGGAAGCAGCCGCATAGCACGGGGAGATCAGCTCGGTGCTTTGTGACCACCTAGAGGGGTGAGATAGGGAGGGCTGGAGGGAGGGAGACACAAGAGGGAAGAGATACGGAGATATATGTATATGTATAATTGATTCACTTTGTTATAAAGAAGAAACTAACACACCACTGTAAAGCAATTATACTCCAATAAAGATGTTAAAAAAAAATCAGGAACAACTTTCTCACAAAGAGAAAACACTATCCATATACAAAGACTTTAAACAAAAATTGCCAAATCCTGCAGAAGTGGCTCATTTTAGTGCTAACAGTGGATGGTTTGGTAGTTTCATACATTACTATAAATTTCAAAGCCTTCAGCTATCAGGCAGAGCCATGAGTGCAGATAAGGAAGTTGCAAAAGAATTTCCAGCAGTGATACAAAAGTTAATTGAAAAAGAAAGCTACAAATGGTCTCACTAACATAAAATGAAATGAAATGAAATGAAATAAATGTGAGGGGATGGATGTGTTAATTAACTAGATGGGGCGAACTCTTTCACAGTGTGTTTATCAATGCACCATGATGTACCTTTAAATATCTTACAATTTTATATGTCAATTACACCTCCACAGGGACTTCCCTGGTGGCTCAGTGCTTAAGAATCTGCCTGCCAATGCAGGTAACACGGCTCTGAGCCCTGGTCCGGGAAGATCCCACATGTCGCAGAGCAACTAAGACCGTGCATCACAACTACTGAGCCTGCGCTCTAGAGTCCATGAGCCACAACTACTGAGCCCACATGCCACAACTACTGAAGCCCAAGCACCTAGAGCCTTGCTCCGCAACAAAGAGAAGCCACCACAATGAGAAGCTCGTGCACCACAACGAAGAGTAGCCCCCACTCACCGCAACTAGAGAAACCCCACGCACAGCAACAAAGACCCAATGTGGCCAAAAATAAATAAATTAATTAATTAAAAAAATTATACCTCAATAAAGTGGAAATTAAAAATAAACGAAAAAGGTGGCTATACATTAGATCAAATTTTCAGTTTTGATGAAACATCTATTATAAATGCATGCCTTGGTGGACTTATATCTTACAGGACAAACATGCCCCAACATGCCCCAGGATTTAAAGTTCCAAAAGATCTCTTGTGATTTGGTGCCAAGGTCAAACTGAGGACAAGGAGCCACATCCATCCACATTGGCTCTTACGACTCTCTGTCCAATGTCAGATCCCCTCTTTCCACGGCTTCACGGTAACTCACGAGCTATAACCTTCCCAATGCCCACTTCCACAAGAAACTTCAGGTGCCATATTTATTGTAATACATATATGAATGTGTGTGTATCTTACATGTTATGATTTTAGGAATGCAAATGTCATGCTATGACAGAACTAACTGAACCATGGCCCTGAAGTATTCTTGAGTTTCAGTGGGTCCCATATTACCTTGGATAAAGCTTCATTGCTCTTCATTTTTTCTCTCAGAATTTTCCACCACTTGCTCTCAGGAGGATACTGCCATGGTGTTTTATCAAATTGTTCTAAAAGCTAAAAAGCAGAAACTTTTTCTTTCCTTTTTGAAAATAAATCATATTAGCATAAAAATCTCTTCTAAAAAAGACAACACAGCTACAGTATCCTACCTTTCACATCACTCATACTCTATTTTTCCTCTGGGCAGTAAACAACTGATAGAAGATAAATAGGTACCACAGAAAGCTTCTGCTTGGTTCAGTGACGACTTCTACCAGAAATTGGGATCCCACAAGACAAAGCAGAACTGTAACCCCCTCCATACTTCACAGGCAAGGGGGCTTGTAAGCCTTCCTCTGCCTCTGACAACAGAAGGAAAATCACCCTGCCAAAGAACCCCTGCAAGAAGACTCATAGCCCCAATACCTAGGGATTCCCATGATACAGATACCAAATGCTCCAGAGTGTTTTAATATTGGGGATTACATCCTAATTTTGTATAATCATGATAATGATACCAATTTGTATCCAAAGTCATGTAACAAATGTGCCTATATTTTATCTGTCACAGTGAAATGTATAAATTATATACAAATAATAAGAATCTGGATAAGTCACTGATTACAGTTTGAAGAGTAAAAATCTCTTTATTGCCTAAAGAAATACTAAGTTAGATTTTTTCCAGTACATAAAGCCATTTCTTGGCTGTAAGTTCAGTTCCTCTGGAAGCTGTATTATAATCTTTCAGACAGCTGAAATCAGTTTGCCGACTGAATGCCTTTAAATTTTCGATCACCTTTCAAAAATGCTTAACTTACCCACATACAAATTATCTATACATAAAGGAGTTGAATTTACCAAGTTCCATAGTTATATTTAAGAATAGCTTTACATCATAAATTTTATTTAAAATAGATATTAATAGACCTGTCACCAAGTGAATCAAGATTTAAACATTTTCAAGAACTGACTTCCCTAAAGACCAAGCCACATAAACTAAAACCCAGGCAAAATCTCTCACCTGTTTAGTGACAGCATTTATGTCTCCTAGCAAGGTCACCGCAGGTCTTACATTATTCCCCAACTCTTCTGCACAGATATCAACCTAAAAAAGAGGCAAGGCTAAAGAACAAACTGTGTTTATTCTTAAAAATCTTTGAGAGTTAAGACAGTAAATGGACTGCGCGTGTTACACATAAGCATATGATTAAGATTTGATATTCAAGAAGTTCCTTGATAAAAGTATAAATCCGCGGAACTATATGAGTATCATAGCTAGTATAGAAACCTCACTATCATCACTTCAAGAAGTAAAATGGCTGTGTGTCAGTTAGGCTTGAACATTTAAAATTTTATTAAACCTTGTGTAATTGTTCATTAAAAACAAAGAAACCTCACTATCTTCTTTCATTTTAAAATCTACTCTGGGGACTTTCCTGGTGGCGCAGTGGTTAAGAATCCACCTGCCAATGCAGGGGGATGTGGGTTCGAGCCCTGGTCTGGGAAGATCCCACATGCCAAGGAGCAACTAAGCCCGTGGGGCACAACTACTGATCCTGCGCTCTAGAGCCCGTGAGCCACAACTACTGAGCCCACGTGCCACAACTACTGAGCCTGCGTGCCACACCTACTGAAGCCCGCGCGCCTAGAGCCCGTGCTCTGCAGTGAGAAGCCACCGCAGTGAGAAGCCCGCACACCGCAACGAAGAGTAGCCCCCGCTCGCCGCAACTAGAGAAAGCCCGTGTGCAGCAACGAAGACCCAACACAGCCAAAAATAAATAAATAAAAATTAAAAAAAAAATCTACTCTGTAGAACTTTACTATTGTTCCACTATACTCACAGGAATGCATTTGACCTGATCAATTACAGTTTTGAATGTAATGAATAATAAGGTTCTACTTAATTACCCTGGAATTCTTATTCAGAGCAGGAGTTCTCAAATTTCAGCATATATCAGAACGTCCCGGTAGGCCTGTTAAGCCACAGACTGCAAGAATCCACCTCAGAGTTTCTGACCTCAAGAGGTCTGGGGTGGGGCCCAAAAATATACATTTCTAACAGGTTTCCCAGGAGGTGCTGATGCTGCTGGTCCAGGAACCACATTTTGAGACCCACTCCCAGGGAACGGCATGATTTCATCCTATTTACTCAGAAGCTCCATTTCTGGATGGCCATGGGCAAGTGAAAACAGCTTCTTGAGGAAAAGTAATTTAGGCACCCCAAAGGGGATGCACTTCATTCTGTAATCAAGAGGCAGCATCCTCCAGTACAATCCAGGTCTTGCTTGTTTGTGGTTTTAGTTTTCAATGGCCCCTATTAGAAGTTGACTTAGGAAGTAAAAGGTAAGCAGGGAGAAGACAGCAATTGCAGTGAGGCCATTAAAATACCTTTACACAATCTGTGTAGGGCAAACAGGTTTCTGGGAAGTACCTTTCACATCAGTAAGGAAACTGCTTTATAAAGAGGGGTCATAAAGATACAAGAGCTTATTCCAAACACATAGTTTTAGCACCATTGTTTAGATATTTCCATCCAAAGGGTGTTTGACGGTTTTGGAATCTAAAAGAATAACTTGATGCCTAACAATGCTGAATGTTTTGTTCTAATCTACCTCCTACTTGAACCTCTTTTGTCTACCTTTAAATATACTTGAACTATGAAGAAGAGCCAAATTATGCTTTTCAAACTATTGAAAACTTGATTTTGAAAGGTTTTCTGGTAAGCAGTAAAGTGGTACATTATGTTTCATAGGCTTGAAAAGGCAGCTTACTTTGGTACCTGTAATTATGCCAGACAATTTATAAAATTCTACTTTTGTAAAAAGAGAAACAGTTCTTTACAAAAGCCGAGAAGAAAGTGGAGCTGATAATGGCTGAGAGAACAATAAACTACACATAGCTCTGATTTTAAATCTCTCCTCTTAGGACTTCCCTGGTGGCACAGTGGTTAAGAATCCGCCTGCCAATACAGGGGACGTGGGTTTGAGCCCTGGTCCGGGAAGATCCCACATGCCAAGGAGCAACTAAGCCCATGTGCCACAACTAATGAGCCTGAGCTCTAGAGCCTGCAAGCCACAACTACTGAGCCTGCGTACAACAACTCCTGAAGCCTGTGCGCCTAGAGCCTGTGCTCCACGACAAGAGAAGCCACTGCAATGAGAAGCCTGCGCACCACAATGAAGAGTAGCCCGCGCACCGCAATGAAGAATAGCCCCCGCTCACCACAACTAGAGAAAGCCCAAGTGCAGCAATGAAGACCCAAAAATCAATCAATCAATCAATTAATCTCTCCTCTTTGAGTACCTGGATAAACTTCACATCCGGCTGATATCTTGGAGGCAATCCAAAATGTAAAATCCAATTTAATCTGGCACCAAATAACACAATTACATCAGCAAATTGCAAAGCCCTATTAAAAAGAAAAATCTGATATAACAAAAGGGATATCTACATTCTTATTTGAATTATTCTAAAGTATTTGGAAAAGTCTAAATAATTTGGATCTTGCACTGTTCTTGAGAATCAGCTTATACGGTAAATTTGATCTTTCAAACTGAAATAATTTATGAAGCCATTCTATTTAAATGGTAATCCAAAAGATGAAATAAGTAGAAAATACTACCATAAGACTTTATCTATACTCTATAACATTTATTACTTTTTTATCATTAGAAAAATTAATATAAGTATACTGTAGATAATCTGGAAAAAGCAGAAAAGTATAAAGAAAAAGCCAAAATTTCCCAATAATACTACCAACTTATAAACTATTATTAATATCCTGGCATAATTTCATCTAGTCTTTCTATGCATGTGTATTTTTATATAGTTGAGCTTATACACTAAATGTCTCATGCGCTTTTGCTTATCATAAATGTTTTCCTTTATCATTAAGTTCTTCTTAAATACAAATTTTAAAGGCTACACATTTTGTTGAACACAAATTTATTTCACCTCTTCTCAAATGCTGGATATTTTTCTTTGTTATTAACAGTACTGGGTTGCACATCTTTATTTGAATCTTAATATATACTTCATATTGATTCCTTGAATTCAGCAGGTATTTTTATGATGATTGATTCACTTTCCCCAACTGCTTTAAAAAAATACTACACCAAGTATATTTCTAAGAGTTTTATATATCTTAGTATTTTTGTCAATATAACTTCAAGTTTTTGATATTTACTTTGATATCTACTCTGATATTAATAACCCTTGCTTTCCTTTTGTTTACCTCATACATCTTTGCTTGCTTTTACACTGTATCATTTTGTTTCAGATGTGGCTCTAATGATGCATACAACTGTCATTATTATTGATCCAATTGAAATGTCATGCCTTTTTCCAGGATAATTTTTATTATAATAACTGCCGTGGGTTTTCTTTTTTCTACTTCTTGGCTATTTCCCATTTTTCTTATCTTTTGCCCAAAGAGGATCTGTTTTGGTTTTTTTTTTTTTTGCTTTTATCTTCTGCAGTGGCTTATGCTATTTTTCACAGAAATTCAGTTATTATTTCAACTATATAGTCAAAAAAGCTATCCTCATACTGTTTTGGTCCTGTGGGACCCAATTTAATTAACAGATAAAAACTGAAAATGGGGGCTTCCCTGGTGGCAGTGGTTGAGAGTCCGCCTGCCAATGCAGGGGACATGGGTTCGTGCCCCGGTCCGGGAAGATCCTACATGCTGCGGAGCGGCTGGGCCTGTGAGCCATGGCCACTGAGCCTGTGCATCCGGAGACTGTGCTCTGCAACGGGAGAGGCCACAACAGTGAGAGGCCTGCGTACCACAAAAAAACCCACAAAAAAACAAAAAAAAACTGAAAATGGAAGGACAGATTTGCTTATAGATACTCCAAAACCCTTGAAATTGTTGATACAATTATTTACAGCCCCTTACAACCTTTTTTATATTATTAATGTCATCAATATTATCTTCTTAAAATTCAACAGGAATGAAGATAAACTTCATCTCAACCCAAGTTAAAGTATATTAAAAGATAAAAACAGTGTAATAATTAATTTGGCTACTGTACAATGTATACTAATATGAAAAAAGTAAACATATAAGCTTATTAAAATAGCATTAAATGAGCAACATTAAAGATTGAACAGCAAACATGACATTTAAAAACCCCTCAAAATTAATTTAGTGTGTGCATGACAACATGAAAATTACCAAATGTAGAACAGTGGTAAACTGTGGAGAGGGAGGGAGGCAGTGGGATCAGGTAAGATATGCAGGGACTACAAACAAATCTGTAATTTTTTGTTTCTTAAAAAAAAAACCTTAAAGCAACAACATATTACTTAATATTATATTTGATAAAGTTGAGTGGTGGTTACATAGTGCTCATTGAATTACTCTCTCATTTGTATATTTATAATATTTCATAATAAAGAAATTAAAAGAAAAAAATACATGGTTTATCAGGAAGTGTGTTTTAAAAATTTAAAAAGAAGAGGGGCTTCCCTGGCAGTCCAGTGGATAAGACTCCAAGCTCCCACTGCAGGGGGTGTGGGTTTGATCCCTGCTTGGGGACTAAGATGCCGCATGTGGCAGGGCAAAAAAAAAAAAAACAACAGTAAAAAGAATGAGGTGAAGTCAATTAGAAAAAAAAATCTAAGAAGAGACTTCCAGTGCCAGCCAAGGCTGGGTAATCCCACTCCAGCCAAGCTCTCCCACTGATACAGTGGAAACTCTGAACCAAGCATAAAAAGCAACTACCTGAGGCTTCTGAAAAGTAAACAACAGTAGGTGGACTGGGATGAGATCAAAGAAGTGACCCATGCAGGCGGTGAGTTTTTAAGGTTTTCCCCTCTTTTATCTCTTCGCTTTGATTCAGAGCAGTCCTAGTTGCAGAACTAAAGGAAAGCAAAAACTTGGAGAGAAACCGTGTCTTTCTGGCCAGAAGATCAGGAAAAGGGACCGTGCATGTCTGAGAGCATGGGGGGAAAGCTCCAAAATTTTCTTTTTCTCTATTTCTCTCTCACAGCTGTGCTCTGACGGCAGCACAGTGGCATTGTGGTAAGTCCTAAGCAGCTAAAATCCCAAGAGAAACTTCATTTTTCAGGCAAGAGGAACTGGGAAAAGGGGCCCCTGTGGTCTGGAGAGTATGGTGGCATCCCCCTTATCTTTCATCTTTCTTTTTTTTCCTGCCACTTTGCCTCAAAGGCAGCACCTGTTGTGTGGTATGATAAGGTAGCAGCAAGGGCCAGGAAAAGGGACTCTGGGAAATGGGTGGGCTATGTCTTAAGAAAGAAAAGGAATCCCTAGTTCTGGATATGAACCAGCATGTTTGTATCCAGAACTGGGGCTGGGGCTCACCCCTGGGCTGGGCATGTGTGGACAGATCCAAAGGAGCATAGCAAAGGCTTTGGAAATCAACTGACCCTGGAACCATGCTCACAGTGAGTGAGTCAGAACCTGCACTCTGAATCTAACCAAGCTAACTGCTTGCTAAAACAAACAAACAAAATCAGCATTCTACAGAGGATTTTGGTATGACCTAGAATCTCACAACACAGTATTCAAAATTCTAGGATACAATCCAAAACTACTCAAAACACAAAGAACCAGAAAAATTCCAATTTCAAAAGAGAATATAATGAATAGATGCCAATTGTACTGATGACCCAGATGTTAGAATCAGTAAACACATACTTTAAATCAGCTATTATAACTATGTTCCATAAGGTAAACAAAAATACTCTTGAAATAAATGGGAAGATAAACGTTCTCAGCAGAGAAATAGAACATATAAAGTAGACAAAAGGAGTAAAAAGAATTAAACAGTTATTCAGGGACCTATGGGAGAATATCAACATGCCTAATATTTGTGTTACTCCAGAAGGAGAAAGAGATTGGTGTAGAAAAAAATATTTGAAGAAATAATGGCCAGAAACTTTCCAAATTTGGTGAAAGGTATCAATGTACAGATTCAAGAAGATTAGAGAAACCCAAACAGGATAAACTAAAAGTAAACCGTGTCCAGACACATCATAATCAAACTGAGAAACAAAGATAAAAAAAAATTCTGGAAGGAGCCACAGAAAGACAACTACATCGGCGGACAGAGATTCTCATGACTACAGATTTCTCATCTGAAACCATGAGAGTCAGGAGATAGAGGACAACATCTTTAAAGTGTTGAAAAGTCTGAAAAGAAACAGATGTACTTAAAATTATGTGATTCTTTCAGAACTTCTCCTAGATTCATTAAAGTCACAAAACAATTTAAATTAGCCTGGAATCTGCCAAGCCATTGTATTTAAAATCTGGAGCGCCACGTACCTGGATCTGGCAGCACCTACACAGTTTGGATGGTTGTCAGGGATAACACCCTTTCCCATGGGGGTGGGCAGAAATGGCAATTTACATTGCTCCACCAACTTCCTGATACTCTCCTCTGCACGGGCATAAGCAGCACCTACAAGAAATTGAAATGTATTGGACAAGTCAGTTAAGCTCCAGACACTGTGACCCTTAAAATAGTTCATGTGAAATTGCTTTTAGAACTTCTCAAACATTCTCCTGCTCAGGGCTTAAACTCAAAACAAATTGTGACTATGGTTTTTGTTTGTTTTTTGGCCATGCTGCGCGGCATGTGGGATCTTAGCTCCCCGACCAGGGATCAAACCTGTGCCCCTGCAGTGGAAGCACAGAGTCTTAACCACTGGACCACCAGGGAAGTCCTGTGACTATGGTTTTTATCTTTGGTATTTTAAAATGTTTAAGAAGGCGCTTTCTAACCTCACCTCTCTTTCAGAGAGGTGTACGGCGCTGTACGGCGGCGGAGGTTCAGACAGTCCCAGGCCTGTGGCCGCTTGGCCTCCAACGGCTGGGGCGCAGGGCAGGAGCGCGCGGCCGCCCTGAGTGTAGTGAGGCTGGCGCCGCGGCTGGGCCGGGTCCGAGGCTCCCGGTTCCTGAACGCGTGTAGGACAGCGGCCTGGTCTGGCCTCCGCCATGTGTCGGTGAAAGATGGACGCTTGAAGCATAGACTGCTGCTAGCTGACTACTTACTATCTGGGAGCACAAAGATGACCTAAGGATGTCCTCGGTGAGGAACTTGACAACTTGATCTTCGGGAGTTGCTTAGAGTATTTAAAATTCCCAGGATTGCTAAAAAAAATACTGCTTTTGGATAGTCCATAAATGTACATCTGAAACAGTGGGACTATAAATAAAATAATTTAATGTGCAAAAAAAAAAATGTTTAAGAAGGCAATAGTTCTAATTTCCCCCCCAAGTAATATTATCAATTATTCTGAAAGATGTCTACCCCTAAACAAAAGTTGCACTTCACACCTCTTGCTGCTCTTAATTGTCAGTTCTATGCTACCTTCCTACTGGATTACTACTCACAGTTCCCCGGACACACATCTACTGGTAGGTGCAGGTAGGAGAGGAAGGACTCTGCCCTGACAGGGAAGAGCAACCTCACACTTTGCTCCCCACCACCAGCTAACCAGGACTGCACCGTCATCTAGTCTGTGTATGGAAATTCTAACAAGGGGTCTACGTTTCTAAAGCTCTGTAGATCGCTTCATAGGCTCTCTAATCCTGTGATCACAACCGGACTAACTCGAATGGGTCACATCATTTGTTTTTACAGTTGTGTGCCTGTAGAATAACCATATACTTTATGCCCTCAATGGCACTGAAAACAACTTACTGTTTGAATATAGAAATGATTTCGAGGGAGATGCAAGAGGGAAGAGATATGGAACATATGTATATGTATAACTGATTCACTTTGTTATAAAGCAGAAACTAACACACCATTGTAAAGCAATTATACTCCAATAAATATGTTTTAAAAAAAAAGAAATGATTTCGTTTCTAATGTCATCAAGGCCATCGTTTTAGCTATTTAACTTTATGCTCTTTCTCAGGATTAGTAGAATATTACTCCGTATCCAGAAGTTATAATTCTCTACTGAGTCTCAGTAAATAGTATAGTATGTTCAGATTCAATTTAATGCTCCCCACTATAAAACTACCTTAGAATCTTTTGTCATCCATGTAGGATGAAAAATAATCCCTTTTTTTTAATCCAGAAAGTTTCCTTATATTCTCCTTCTTGCCTCAATATTTGTCCATTCAGTTCCCTCTTCCTGGAATGCGTGGGTTCTCTGTGTCCACTCAGTGACCGGTCACCCATTATTTCAAGGGGTGGCTACAGCATCATCTCTTCTGAATGGTCTTTCCACACCACCTACACAAGAACATTGTTGCTGCTTCCCCTGGGAATCCACCTCAGCTCTCTACACACACCCCACTTATTTGTGACCAGGTCTGTCTACTTATAAGTAGGAACCATTATTTCTCTATATATCCCACAAATGTTTTCTATAATCCCTGCCTTATCATAAGGACTCATTAAATGGTGGTTAAAGGAAGTACAAAAACTAGCATCCACTGAGCTCTTTCTATTATTTTGTTGTTTAATTTTAACAGTACTGTTGAGGTAGCTAACCTCTATTTTACAAGTGAGGTAACTGAGACTCAAAGCAGTTTTTGCCAAGGTCACAGAGCTAATATATCACATAGCTGTACACAACTCAGCTCTGACTTCAATTTTTTTCTGTTGTCCACCATTTTTACTAAAACTGTTTTTAGTTTCTATGTAGTTATCTCCTAAGTAGTTGACAACTGACTAGCATGGTCATAGATGATTCATAGCCCCTTTAGGTCTAGAACATATAATGGATACTATAATAAATTGCTGACATGCGTATAAATTGGTACAATATCTTGGAGAAAGCAATTGGACAATATGTTCCAAAGGCCTTAAAATATGAATACATTTTAACTTAATTAATTTTCTTTCTGGGAATCTATCTTATATCCTAAATATGGAAAAAGCTTTAAGTACAAACGAGTCTGTTGCAGCTATTCTAAACACAAACAAAAACTGGCAAAAATTTAAATATTTGCCAGTAAAGTATTAGTATATACATGAATGGACATTAAAAATTATATTTGGGAAAAAAATTTAAGACCATGAGAACATGTTATTCTAACATTAAATGAATTAAGTATAATACGAAACTGTCTAATAGAGTGGCCATTTGACCCAGCAATCCCACTCCTAAGTACGTACTGAAGAGAACTGAAAACATACATCCACACAAACATTTGTACATGAATGTTCATAGCAACATTTTTCACAGTAGTTCAAAAGTGGAAACATCCCGAATGTCCATCAACTATGAATGGATTAAATTAAATGTGGTATGTCCATACAATGGAATAATAATAATAATAACTATGAATTATATTTATTATATTATATATAATTATAGTAACTATATTATCATTATTATTCAGCAATAAAAAGAAATGATGTACTGATACATGCTACAACGTGGATGAACCTTGAAAACATTACGCTAAATCAAAAAGGTCAGTCACAAAGGACCATACATTATACGATTCTATTTAAAAGAAGTGTCCAAATAGGCAAATCTATAGAGACAGAAAATAGATTCACGGTTGCCTGGGGCAGAGGGCTAAGGAGGTTTGGGGTGACAGCTAAGGGATGTGGGATTTGGGGGAGGGTAATAACAATATTCTAAAATTGACTGTGGTGATGGATGCACAACTTTGTAAATATACCAAAAGATATTAGATTGTATACTTTAAAAAAAACTGTCTAGGGCTTCCCTGGTGGCGCAGTGGTTGAGAGTCCATCTGCCGATGCAGGGGACACTGGTTCGTGCCCCGGTCCGGGAAGATCCCACATGCCGCGGAGCGGCTAGGCCCGTGAGCCATGGCCGCTGAGCCTGCGTGTCCGGAGCCTGTGCTCCACAACGGGAGAGCCCACAACAGTGAGAGGCCTGCATACCGCAAAAAAAAAATAAATAAAAAACTGTCTATACAGTATGATCACAAGGTATAAAATATACATGCAAAAAGGAATACAAAAGTACTACATGTTAAAATGATCTTCTTTGGATGAAGGGATTTCTTCTTTCTAATCTACTGGATTTTCCAAATTTTTTATAATATTCATGTGTAATCTTCATAATGGAAAGAAACACATTTTACTCATAAGAAATGTAATAGGGACTTCCCTGGTGGTGCAGTGGTTAAGAATCCGCCTGCCAATGCAGGGGACACGGGTTCGATCCCTGGTCTAGGAAGATCCCACATGCCAAGGAGCAACTAAGCCCGTGTGCCACAATCACTTAAGCCTGTGTGCCTAGAGCCCACGAGCCACAACTACTGAGCCCACGTGCCAGAACTACTGAAGCCCGTGCACCAAGAGCCCATGATCTGCAACTAGAGAAGCCACCACAATGAGAAGCCTGTACACCACAACGAAGAGTAGCCCCCACTCGACACAACTAGAGAAAGCCCACGTTCAGCAACGAAGACCCAATGCAGCCAAAAATAAATAAAATAAATAAAATAAATAAATTTACAAAAAAAGAAAGAAATGTAATAGGTGATATTCCAGGCATTCTAGAATAATTCTATGATTTCAAAACTAATAAATAATGCTAAATGAATAAAGAGAATTTTTATTTCAATTTCAAACATTAGAGCCAATGCTAATAAATAATGAAGACAATTTCTAAACAGAATCAGCATTCTTTTGAAAGCCTAGCAAGATTTAGAGTTCCATTCAATGCTACCTTTCCCGATGATAAGAAGGGGCTGTTTGGCATTCCTAATAACAGATGCTGCCATACATACAGCAGAGCTTTCTGCCATACTAACAGGAGGTGGCATGCAGCACTCCACGTACCTGGAAGTAAAGAGCTCTGTTAATTAGGAGGCCAACTTTTAAACTTTTTTATTGTGAAAATATCAAATACACAAAAAGGTAGAAAAAATAGTATAATAAACTCCATATGCCCACCCTGTAAATTCAACTACTAATATTTTACCACATTTGCTTCACACATACACACATAAATATACATATACATTTCTTCCTAAACCATTTGACAGTAGATTACCACAGCAAGACTTAAAAATTAAAAGATAAGGACTTTCTCCCATATAACCATAATATCCTTATCATACCTGGTAAATTAATATTTATTCCCTAAGATCATCTAACAACCAAAGGAGCAATTCACTGACAGGAAATCTGAATTAATGGCTTCACACTGTGGTAGTAGTTGTTGTTGTAGTAATAATAAAAAAACATACTAAAAGTGAATATTTCATACCTACTATGTGCCATTTATCCGTATTTAATTTTCAAAATAATGAGATTAGGTATTACCATTATCTCTGTTTCACTACTGTGAAAAAAAAAAAACTCAAAAAGTAGGTAACTTGCCTGGGGTCCCCAGATGGCATGTGGCAAAGGCTGGATTGAAATCGGTTTTTCTGTCTCCAAAGTCCATGCTTTTAACTACCTCACTATATTTCCACTCATTGAGTAAGTCAATGTTTTAGTATCACAATATGCATTAGTAAAATAAATATTAAATATTAAAACTGTCATAGTTAAGTATTTCTAGACACCAACTCCTCAGTGTTTTAGTTCATTTATCCTAATTAATAAACATCATACTGTATAAAACTTGGACATATAATACCAAAAAAGGACATCCAAATCTTTACAAAAATTTTAAAGAAGGCTTACAGAGTTAACTTACCTAAGGCACATCTCCCCCCAACCCCAATAATATTATTTTGATTGTCATGTTCAGGTATTATGAAGAATAGATGTCCTTTTTGTCTGACTCTCCCAAATAGAAACCTCTACTTGGTATCCTGAGTGAACAGAAATGCCCACTGTCTCTCTGCAGTCACTAGGTCCATGACAGCAGGAATGCGCTAAATGGTACTCAGGGTGATGCAGTAACCCAAGTACCCATCCTTACCAGGAGAGACTTAGATACCAGTTTGTTGTACTTATTGTTCACTCAGTGTTTATTTATGGAATAAGGGAATTTGGCAAATCATAGTAACATCTGGTGTTTAAATATTTTTAAATCACAGAGACAGGCTGAAATTTTTTATGCTGAGTTCTTACTAGAACTATTTGAAAATTACTATTTTTCAATAGTCACTTCAACTCTTGGTTTATACCATGAAGACTCTAAGTAACCATACTACATGAGGATTAGTTTTTTATGGTTACTGAAAGAATAATTTCAAATGAGGAGTTTGGGAAGCTCCAAGTATTTGATTTAGTAATTAAACCCCAAAATAATTCCTAAATAATGCCATTTTAATTAAGAGAGTTAAGCCCTTTGGCCAGGATTCAGTTTAATTACTAAATCTTCAAAAGTTAAGACAAATTGAAGATTAACTTATAAACTGCTAGGTAAATTCTTTTTAAAAGGTAAGCATTATGGTAACACAATTAAGAAAGAACTCCAGTTAACTATTACTCACCTTACAGAGTTCACATTCACCTGGAGGTTCACAAAATCTGCAGGTATGTCAACATAGCAAGCACCTGGACGACCATAAATACTGCTTCTCACTGCCTAAGTTCATTACAAATGGAAGAAAATATTTAAAAAATCTCAATCCTTATTATCACATTCCACTCAAAGATAATTTAAAATTGTGAAATGAACACTATTTTGATTTTTCTCAACATCCTTAGTTGATGCAACATCCTTAGAAGTAACCAATTTTAATTACATTGAAATGCCCTCTATTGATTCTATACATTTTAAAAGATATTTTTGTTTAAAAGGGGAGAGATAAGAAAAAAATACACACTTAGGGCTTTAAAATCCATTTTCTATTACACTTTAGTCCTAGAAATTATCTACTAGGTTCTGCCTTCCAAGTCTTTACTTTATAACATTACTTTCACCTGCTTCCTAATCCTAATGATTTAGCAAAGGTTTCAGAAACTGTGATGTCGTAACATGTATCAAATGGTTTCTATAACACATGGTTTTTGAAACAGCTTAAAAGTAACTTCACATATAAAACTAACTTATAATATGCTGTTTAATCAACTAAGAGATGGTCTTACATTAATACTAATATAAGTACTAATTTTCAAAAACTTAAAGTAAATTTAAGTAATAATACTTAAATAATTTAAGTAATAAGTACTAATTTTCAAAAATTTAAGTAATAATACTTAATAATATAAGTATTATTTTCAAAAATAATCTTGCAAAAGTATAAGAGAAAGGGTACCCAGGGTTTCAATATATCCTTCTTTTTATTTTTCCATAATTTAAAAAAATTTTAAAAACTAAAGTAGAGGGGAAATTTTTTCCAAAATAATTTATTTTATCGGTTTCTTTAATTAAGTTAATGACAGTGAATATTAAAATGTACATAGCTATTTATCAATATCATTGCTAACTGCCTGAATATATTCCAAATTGCTACTCATTCTATGGAGAATAAAAGTAACACAGGTAATAAGCAACTGAGAAAAACCAGCTGACTTGGAGAGCTTGTAATTAAATACTGTACCTTTTCGATAATAGAGGGAATAGCTTCTATGCTACTTGGCCGGGCAGAGAACTTGCTATATAATCTACAAGCTTCAACCTATATGCGAAAAGAAAATCACTTAAAATTCAGCTCATGTATCATATTACTCTTCTGAAAGATGACAAAATGTTAAGCCATTACTTTCTATTATGTTTAGAGGCAAGATGGAGAAAAATGCATTACCTAGATTGCTTCTTAAAAGCCTATTCAGGGGCTTCCCTGGTGGCGCAGTGGTTGAGAATCTGCCTGCTAATACAGGGGACACGGGTTCGAGCCCTAATCTGGGAGGATCCCACATGCCGCAGAGCAACTAGGCCTGTAAGCCACAACTACTGAGCCTGCACGTCTGGAGCCTGTGCTCCACAACAAGAGAGGCCGCGATAGTGAGAGGCCCACGCACCGCGATGAAAAGTGGCCCCCGCTCACCACAACTAGAGAAAGCCCTCGCACAGAAACGAAGACCCAACACAGCCAAAAATAAATAAATTAATAAACTCCTACCCCCAACAACTTCTTAAAAAAAAAAAAAAAAGCCTATTCAAAGTACAACCAAATCTCTGCCTTGGTGTGATTCAGGAAGAAAAACAAAACAAGCCACAATTTTCATTTCTTAGATTGGCAAACATAAAAAAGTTAGATAATACCCAGCATCTATCATAATACAAGAAAACAGGCACTCTCATAAACTCTGGTGAGAATATAAATAGGAAGGGGAGTTGACAATGTCTCCTAAAAATGTAAGTAAGTATATCCTTGGACCCAGAAATTCTAAAGCCAGGAATACACAACTTCATCTGTTATATCTCATTACAATAATAATCTATTTTTACATTTCTGCCAATTTTCCTGTTATATATTTTGTTGTTATGCTGTTTGACATAAATTCAGTAGTGTTAATTTTTCACTGTTTAATGTACTTTGAAGCACTGTATATTCAATAGAAACTGTTTCTCTTAATACTTTTTGATATAAAATCTACTTAACAGTTGGTAGTCTTAGTCCCATAGGTATGAGTAGGAGTTTTCCTCTCAACTTTTCTCTTCCTCAAAGTCTGATAGTCCCAAACCATTTTTATTCCTGCATTTTCTTGACTCTTTGAAGAGATTATTTTCAGAGTTTAAATTTCTGTCAAAAAGGTGTATTTCTTGGAAGATTGCTCCTAAACAGAGCCTAAGCTTTCTTAATAACCACACTGAGAGTTTCTTGTAGTTGAGGAAAATTACCTTTAAAATATCTCAGGTACTTTTATTTTAATTGTTTATTTTGCAGACAGGAGTTTTAATTTCTTCTCCATAAATCTTAATGGAGTATACTTACGTTACTAAAATGATAGAGGGATGATCTTAGAGTTGGGTACCTGAGGAAACTCCTGGAAGGCCCCCATTGTTTCCTGACTTCTTTCAGAGGAACCACCAATCACAATCAAGGGCCTGAAATATTAATTTTTTTAAAAGAGAATTACAAATGAGATCAACATGTAAAGTACTCAGCAAGTACCCAATAAATAATAAACACTCAATGAATGTTAAAAAAGAGAGAAAGAGAGAGAATTACATTTTCCCTTAAAAACTGCCAATTTAGAAGGATTTAGGAAACAACTTGGTGTGAGAGAACACTTCCTCAATTTTGGAAAAATCTGTAATTTGTGGTAAATATTTTTCCTCCATGCCCCTCTCTCCCCTGCCTCTTTTGGATACTGATACCTCTGGGTGTGATGATGTAAAATGAATTGTTATGCCCTTCCTATTATTCTTGAAATTAAGAGAAGAAAAAAACTTTTGTCACACTTTCCTAAATGAGTCTATTTGGAAATGGCAGAATGAAAAAAATTCCTCAGCAATAAAATTCTTATGCTTTGGGGAGAAAAAAAAAAAAGATACAGCAAAGTTAAAGTTACTCAAAAATTATCAGACACTAAAGTAGATAAGAAAGAGAAAGTGTAGGAAGGATGAAAGAAAAGAAGTCAAACCCTAAAAAGTAGGAAACACATGGCAAGAAAGAAAACAATGTCCTTCCCACAGGAAATTTAAACATTTTATGAACTGATCAAAACATATCCCCCTTTAACATGATCTTATGAGTAAAGAACCAGAGATGGGATTAAGGGCAAGAGCGACTAATCTGCTTATAAAGCCAACTCAATAAATGTAAGATTTCAATTGTCCTGCTAGTTATGCAAGACAAGGTGAAAAATTAAATACATTCTTGCATATTGAACTGGGATCTTTGATAAACAGTTCTTCACTTAAAGAGACTTATACACACATTCACACATATATATATATAGATAGATAGATATGGAATATACACATATTTATTCCAAAATATTAATAGTCTTTTTTTCTAGGTAAAAGAGCTGTTGATGTTTTTTTTCTTATTTTCTTCCTAACTCTCTTAATTTTTCACTAAGCCATTTCCTTAAGCACCTGACCCCTGGTCTTCCCACCACAGATCAGTGGTTGCTCCACTAGGTAAAATCATGCATTGAGATTTTTAAGAAAATGTTTTAAGTAATTACCAACAGTTCATGTTTGCATTTGCCATACCACCCAAAGCATGGATGAGACCTGGGCCAGAAACAACAAGGCAAACTCCCGGCCTAAAAGCAAAACAGAATTAATTTTATTAAAAGCAGGTCAAATGCAACACTTGATTCATATCACTTTAGGGTGAAATGTCACCTTCTTGAACTTCAAAGGCAGGATATATAGATCTTTACTACAACTGTAAAACAATTATTAGAATATTTTTTTAATTAGAATAAAAAAGGTTATATCAGTCTTCCTGCAAGAAATAAGGTACCTACCATCCTCACACTGTATTTCACTAACCTCTTTATACTTTGCTCCTATTATATTTGGGCTAAATCAAGTTGACTGCATACAGAAGCAAATTTTTGGCTACTGAGTACATTTCTATATGGAAAAAAAGTGTTTTTAAAAATTTTCTTAACAAATATATAATGTAAATTGGTCTTTGCCAGGAAGTAATTCTGAAATGTAGTGCTCTGCCCCAATTTTTTAAATTGAACTTGAAAGCTTTACCTTAGATGACTTTCTAAGCTTAAAGCACTGAAAAAAAGGTATCTCCATATAATTCAACTTGCCATTTTCAATTTATACAGTAATTTCTTAAGAACCTCTATTTAAGACAGCCTTTAAATTGGTGCAGCCACTGTGAAAAACAGTATGGAGGTTCCTCAAAAAACTAAAAATAGAACTACCATACAATCCAGCAATTCCACTCTGGGTATTTATCAGAAGAAAACAAAAACACTAATTCCGAAAGATATATGTACCCCTATGTTCATGCAGCACTATTTACAACAGCCAAGATATGGAAGCAACCTCAGTGCCCATCCATGGATGAATGGATAGAGAAGATGTGATTGATACACACACACACTGAAATATTACTCAGCCATAAAAAAGAATGAAATCTTGCCATCTGTGTTGACATGGATGGACTCGGAGGATATTATGCTTAGTGAAATAAGTTAGATAGAGAAAACCAAATACCATATGATTTCACTTATATGTGGACTCTTAAAAACAAAACAATGAACAGAAAATAAACTCAGAGACAGAGAAAAAACTGGTGGTTGCCAGAGGGGAGGTGTGTAGAGGAATGGATAAAATAGGTGAAGGGGATTAAGAGGTACAGACTGCCAGCTATAAAATACGTAAGTCATCGGGATGAAATGTACAGCATAGGAACACAGTTAATAATATTTTAACAACTTTATATGGTGATAGATGGGAACTGGTCTTATGGTGGTGACCATTTCATAATGTATAAAAATACTGAATCACTATGCTGTACACCTAAAACTAATATAATACTGTATGTTAATTATAACTCAGTTTAAAAAAAGAAGTTGAGATAAAACATAGACTTGAGTTTACCTGCCTGTCAGATATCCAACCGCAGAGGCAGCATAACAAGCCTACAAAGAAAAAACACTGGGACTTAAGCATTTTGGGACTCTTATAGTATTAAATTGTATTAAGTATTATTATTATACATGTATAAAGTATGTATATAATAATTCACTCTCAAGTAAGGGGGAATTGGAACATTTTTCATTCTAACAAGTAATGTTCTACCTGTAAATTTTAAACAATGGTTTAAGCATCTAATTCTAATTTTGAGTTTTTCAAGGAATTTGTCCATATCATCTAGTTTATTCATAACATCATCTTATAATTGCTTAAACGTCTACAGGATCAATAGGACTGTCCTCTTTTTTATTCCTAACATTGATAATTTGTATTTTTTCTCTTTTATTCTTCATCAGTCTTGCTAGGGATTTACCAAATTTATTAATCTTTTCAAAGAACCAATTTTTGGATTTGTTGATTTTTTTCTGTTGTTTCTTTGTTTTCTCTTCCATTGATTTCTGCTTTTTTTAAAAAAATAAATTTATTTATTTTTGGCTGTGTTGGGTCTTCATTGCCATGCGTGGGCTTTTTCTAGTTGCGGTGAGCGGGGGCTACTCTTCCTTGCAGCGCGTGGGCTTCTCATTGTCGTGGCTTCTCTTGTTGCAGAGCACGGGCTGTAGGCACACAGGCTTCAGTAGTTGTGTCACGTGGGCTCAGTAGCTGTGGCTTCCAGGCTCTAGAGCTCAGGCTCAGTAGTTGTGGCACATGGGCTTACTTGCTCTGCAGCATGTGGGATCTTTCTGGGCCAGGGCTCAAACCTGTGTCCCTTGCATTGGCAGGCAGATTCTTAACCACTGTGCCACCAGGGAAGCCCAATTCCTGCTTTTGTACTTATTATTTTACTACTTTCAGTTTGGGTTTACCTTGGTTTTCTTTTTCTAGCTTCTTAATATGTAAGCTTAGAGCACTGATTTTTGATCTTCTTTACTAAGTATAGATTCATTTAAAACTATTTCCTCTAAGTACTGCTTTAGCTATAGCTTACATGTTTGAGATCTCATCTTCTCATCATCATTCAATTCAAAATGTTTTCCATTTTCCATTGTGATTTCTTCTTCACCCCACTGGTTATTTAGGGTCCATGGTGACATCCCCTTTTTCACCCCTGACACTGGTAATTTGTATTTTTTCTCTTTTATTCTTAATCAGTCTGCCGTGAAGGTTATTGATTTTATTAATCTTTTCAAATATTTACAAAGGATTCAAACATACTGAATTTCCAAATGTTTGGGGGATTTTCTATCTTTCTGTAATTGAATTCCAGTTTATTTCCATATGGTCAGGTCACATATACTGTTTGTTTCCAATCCTTAGAGATTTGTTGAAATTTCCTTCATGGCCTTCATATGGTTAGTTTTTATTTTTAAACTGCACTTCAGCTCACTATAGGAAGACAAGGAAGGTGCTAAATTAAATACAAGATAATCTGGAAAAATGCTAAATGCCCTTTAGGAAGAAATGAGACTGGGTTGGCAAAATGTCCTAACTTCCTTTCTTGTGCTTCCAAATAAGCCTCCGAGAAGGGTGGCAAGGTAATGAGGTGGAATGAGCACTGGACTGGGGCTTAGGACACCTCTGGAGTCCAATCACGGCTTTACCATTTGTGATACCTGTCACTTTGCAGAGCCACCTACTATACAACATGAGACTTGGCCTTCACCCATTCACCTTGCAGGTACTACCGGACCTCCTATCAAGTGCAGGCTCTACCTACGCACTGGAGATACAGATGTGTCAAGAAAAAATAATATCCGTGACCCCCTGAAGCTCAGAGCCTACTAGGGAAGTCAGACCGGACAAATAATACACAGACACATAATAATAGTTAGTTACAGAGTGAAGATCAGAGGACAGGATTCAGACCAGGTAAATGTCCCTGCCAATTCTGACACTCTAGACTGGGCAGAGTACAATACTGTATACTGTAAGAGCATGGACTCCAGACCCAGAATACCTAAGTTCAAATCCTGGCTCTGCCAATACCAGCTGCCTCCTTGAGCAAGTTTCTTAACCCCTCTGGGTCTCACTTTTCTCATTTGTAACTAGGATTAACAATGGTTCTTGCCTCCTAGGATTGTTGTGATTGATACGTGTGAAGTATTAGAGGCGAGATAAGCGGCGACTGTCCGCAGTGAAAATTTGCCATTATTATTACTCATCCCCAATGCTGCATTCGGCTCTCCAAGTCCATACTTACCGCCTGCTCGTTCCTCATCCCGATGTATCTGATGCCCACCTCCTGGGCAGCAAGGGCGATTTCGGTCACCGGGATGCCTACGATGCCAAACATGTAATTCACATCCTGTGGGCCAAGAACAGAGAAATGAGGCCGCTAAAAGGAAAGCCTCCAGCAAAGCTCCCCCCTGCCCTCCCCGCCGCTCTCCCGTTTCCAAGACAACGTCTCGGCCCCCGTCGGCCGCCGTAGGAGCCTTTCAATCAGGAAGGTCCAGCACACCTGTGTTTTCAGGGCCTGGGCGACGACTTTAGCACCAGACACCAGCCTCTCGCCTCCGTCGCTGCGCTCTGCCAAGTTACTTTCCGACATCTTGCACCTGAAGTGCGAGGCCCTCTCGCAGTGGACAGCAGGCTAACGCGAAGTCACCCAGCCAAACCAACGCCGGAGACACCAACAGTGGGGCCGCTTCTCTGAGTGAGGAGGAGGGCGACCCACCGCTTTAAACGGCGGAGAGGAGAAGGCGGGGCTGAAACCAGCCCGCTCGGGGTGAGGTGAGATGTAAACACACTCTCTCTCCTGCCACAACCAGGCCCTTTCCCCGGGCCCTCCATTAGCGGCCGGCAGAGTGTCAGGAGGAGGCGGGACTAGCTGGAGGCGGAGGCCTGTGCCGAGCAGGTGAGAGGTCGAACCGCGGAGGCCTGTCGCCTTAGTCCACCACCCGGAGCCATTTCGAGACTGCGTAAGGCGGGTGGTACTTACGCAGAGTCCGGGCGGAAGGGGGCTAGGGGCTTGGGCAGAAGGGGACGTTGCGCGCGCTCCCGGCCCCGCCCCCGGCCTCGGGGCTCTGGGGGCTGCGGGCTGGTTTCGCAAAGGCTGCTGGGATGCGGGTGGCTGGAAGGTTCCGGTTGTACGGCGAGGTCGTTTTTGGGTTGCGTGGTCATTCTTCCGCGTCCCTTAGGTTCGAGGATTTGACTTACACGCTTTCTGATTTGTACGCTCATATCTTTGTGGCTTTGCAGTCCGTGAAGATTAATACCCGTCAGTTAAATCCGTAAGCGGATGTGTACTCTACGTCGTGTCTTAGAGGAGGACACGGAATCTCCCAAGCGAGAGATAAAAGTAACTTACCCAGAGCCATTGGACCAGACCGTGCTTCAGACTAACAATCTTGGGCTCTATTCACTGATAAGCCCTTTGGCCACAGGAGATAAGAGGAGCCCCTTGAGCCTAGTTACTTTTGACCGTTATTTTCTCTAACCCTAGCCAATAACCCTCCACTCTTGTCTTTACAGTCAGGAAATGGGGGGTGGGTTGTGATTCTTAAGAGTCAGTCCCGCACCACAACCAGCTCCTGCAGCTCAGAACCTTTTTTTAAAAAAAAAAGTTTGATTAAAAAAAGAAAATCAGTAGTTGATTTACAATGTGTTAATTTTTTCTGTACAGCAAAGTGATTCAGTTATACATATATATGAATTCTTTTTCTTTTCCATATTCTTTTCCATTGTGGTTTATCACAGGACGAGAACCTTTTAAAACACATTTTTGAGTGAAAAAATGGCCTTACAATGTGTGATTTATGAGGCTATGGCCTCAGGGTCATTAGACCATCTGCTGGGTAGCAAACAAAATCGCCAATGGTAAGGAAGAGTGGAACTTTAAATTTTTGACGATCTGGAGTGTTTTAAAGCAAAAAGACCAGTAATATGTGGAAAGTAAAAAAACAAGAAGAGAGAGGAGTGGGTCATGGGTAGTAAAATGAATGAAAAGCATTAGAAGTGAAAGGATTTCTAAAGCCAGTGGGACCTTCCAAAAAGGTTTCCCCTCGAATTTCAAGCCCTAATGCCCACCCTGGCCCCCTTGGATATGGGGGCCTAGCCTAAGGTAGTCCATTTAAGAGGGAGATTTCTTTGAAGTCTCAGAGTTCATCTGGAAAATAAATGCAGATCTTGCATTGTATTCCAGAATCTATCCATATTTTAATATAAAAGTGATCTTTTTATTGAGGTAAACATACACGTAAATGTACAGATCTTAAATGAGTTTTGACAATTGTATATACCTATGTAACCACCACCCAAAATACAAATGACATTTTAAAATATTTACCTGTGAAATAAAATTGACATTCCAGAAAGATGCACAGTGCTCTTTGTGTGGCTTTGAATAGTCCTTGGTACAGTGTCTCCTGTCCCTGTTTGAGAAGCATAGACCCTATACCTCTCTACCATGTGGGATTGTTTATATCAGTACCTGTATGACAGTTTCTATCCCCAAGCATCAGAATCACTAGGAAAGCTTTTTAAACAAACAGTTGCTTGGGCACTACCCCACATCTTCTGAATCAGCATCTTAAGACAAATTAGGCACCTGTATTTTTTTTAAAGCTGCTACCTAAATTTGATTTGCAGCCTGACTTGAGGACCACTAGCTCTGTACTCATGCTAGAGGCATGAGTTAATAATTAAATGTGTGATTGCATTTTACCAAAAACTGTTGCTTAATTTGGATTTATGGGTTCAAGGCTGGTTTGACATCAGTAGCACAGACCATGTAGATGGCAGTTAGTCAGTTCATGTGGACTTGTGTTCAAAGAAGAACTGTGTTCTTCTGTCCCAAAAGAATCACTGACAGAATCACTCAGTATAAAGTGAGAAAACTAAACTATGAATTGGAACAAATCCCCTGAATTCAGAATAACCAATTGTGCAAAGGGACAAATTCTCAACTGACTGGACTCTGCCCTTTAGCAGAGGGAGTCGGTGAGACTGTTGAAATTTGCTTCACCTTACAGCTTTGAGTTCAGGGCCCAACATTCCATGGTTCACTTGGGTCTGATGATTCAGCAAAAGTGCTGAGAGTCTCACCCCAAGATTTGCAGGCACTTGGAGCAACTGCTTTCAATCCAACAGCAATGACAGGATTCCAGGATTCTTTTGTAACTTACCCAAGGCCTTTTGTGCAGACATTGTAAGCGTTAACCACATTCTTTATTACTTTCATTGGTGGTAGGCATGGAATTTTATTTGTTTTGCCTTGTTTGTTTATTCGTGGAAAGAGGTCAAAGGAGGAGTAAGTCTAGGGTTTTTTTTTAACAGAAAAGGCTAAAGTAATGATTACATGCTCTCCAGAGAGCATACTGGTTACTGTATTTGTGGGCTCTGGACCTGAGATTATGAGGGAGATATTTGGTGGCTTTCTTACATCTGGGCGAAGAGAACATCTAGGCAACCAGGTCATTTCCTTAGAGTTGCAAAATAATACCTGGAGAAAATATACTTGCTAAAGATTTAAAATAGGCAGCTTCTACAGTAACTTCTTAGGCCCCAGAATTATGTTTTAATGGGTAAACTAACTGCTATGAGGACATAAGTGACTTATGTCAAATGGCTTAGAAGTCATAACGTAGTATTTCTTCATATGCAAGTACTCCACACTCGGAGGTGGCCTGTGGCCCAGGGGTTGGTCAACCATCACATATGAAACATGGTATCAGTTTTTAAATGTTTTCTGTTTTCATTTGTTTCTTCTGTTTTGCCATCAGCTTTCATTACAGCCCCTTCCTTTAGCTTTTTTTTAAAAATAAATCTATTTATTTATTTATTGGCTGTGTTGGGTCTTTGTTGCTGCCTGAGAGCTTTCTCTAGTTATGGCAAGCGGGGGCTACTTTTCATTGCGGTGCGCGGGCTTCTCATTGCGGTGGCTTCTCGTTGCGGAGCATGGGCTCTAGGCACACGGGCTTCAGTAGTTGTAGCACGCGGGCTCAGTAGTTGTGGCTCATGGGCTCTAGAGCGCAGGCTCAGTAGTTGTGGCGCACGGGCTTAGTTGCTCCGTGACATGTGGGATCTTCCCAGACCAGGGCTCGAACCTATGTCCCCTGCATTGGCAGGTAGTTTCTCAACCACTGCACCACCAGGGAAGTCCCGATATTTTTTTAAATATATTTTTTATATACTTAAAGATGTCATTTATGACATCTTTCAGACACATGAATAAGAACAGAGATTAACACACACCCATGTGTCCAGCGCTAGCTTAAGAAACACTTAACAAATAGAACGAAACCCCTATTGTTTCCTTCCCCCATCACATCTCCTGCCCTGTGCCATAGAGGTAACCACTATCTTGAATTTGGTGTTTATAATTCCCACCTGTGCATTCTTTAGGTGATTGGCATTTAGGTTGTTTTAAGCTTTTTAGTGTTATAAACAGTTTTCTTTGAATATTCTTGCATGTCTCCTTGTGCACTTGTGTGAGTTTTTATGTATATGTATCTAGCAGTGTTATCAGAGGGTAGGTTCTTATCTCATAGCAGAAAGAATTCAGAGATGAGACAGGGAGGTCAAGAAAGCAAAGTGAGGATTTATTTAAGAGAAAGTATGCTCTCAAGGGGAGAGCAGCCAGTCTCAGGTGAGTAGCTGCACTGAGTTTCTTCAGCAAGCTGCTTTGTGGGGCATAGAAATGAAGGGGTGGAATATTCACTGGGGAGGGAAGGGGTGGGTTCATATTCCCTGATTTTCCTCCCAGCTCCACCTTCCCGAGGGGAGGAGGGATTTCTGTCCTTATTTAGCCTTGATCAGAAGTGTCATGACATTGGTGCATGATGAGTACTTCTTATCTGTGAGGCTAATTTTATTGTAATGAGGGCATAGTGAGTGAAATGTTACATTCAGACACTGGAGATTCCCGCCTTTCCCCACCTTTCTTTGTCTACAGGACACTTATCACCCCCCAAATGTGTAGTTTCCTGTCAGTCTGGAGATTCCTGCTTTTCTTTGTCTGACCAGGGACCCCCATTGTTTACAAGATATGTGGTTTCCTGCCATTTGACCCCTGCCCCTCCTTCTCTGCTCGTATCTAGCTAACTGCCTGCTTTAACAGGGGTGGGTCATCATCAATTTTACTAGATATTACCAAATTGGTCTCAAAAGTTATTGTACCAATTTATACCCCTAACTTCTGTATATAAGAACTCCCCTTTCTCTGCACCCTCAATTGTGGAATTTAAAATTTTTTGCCAATTTGATGGTTGTAAAATGGATTTTCATTTCCATTTCTCTGACTACTAATGAAGATATCTAGGTATAGATTATATAGTTATATATTTGGATTTACCATTGGGATTTCTGCTGTGAGTTACCTGTTTATATCTTTTGTCCTTTATTGGATTGTTTATCTTATTTATCTTTACATGTTCTTTATATATCCTTGATACTTATTCTTCGTCTTTTACCTTTGTTTATAGTTACTTTTGAGGTACAAAATTTTGTGTCTTTTCGGTGTGTGGTCACAACTGACAATTTTGTTTTTTGGCTGTGGCGCACAGCTTGTGGGATCTTAGTTCCCCAACCAGGAATTGAACCCACGTCCCCTGCAGTGGAAGTGTGGAGTCCTAACCACTGGACCACCAGGGAATTCCCACAACTGACAATTCTTTTCCTTTATTTTATACTCTTTGTATCTTGCTTGAGAAAACTTTCCCTAAACTGAGGTTATATGGAGTTTTTTTTCTATATTTTCATTAAAAAGTTTAGTTTTTTTTATATTTAAGCCT